GACAGCACTTTTACCCGGAGGTCCTGAGGCCACTCCCTATTTAGCGGCTGGCAATTCCGGGCTGCTTTTCGTTTTTCGGAAATGGTGTCCGAGGTCTCTCGGCTTGTTCCGCCCGACGACTTCTTGCGGCAACATCTGCAAGGCCGCCCACGTACTTCGCCATAAACGGAGACGGAGCATTCATTCCGCACGAGCTTCCCAGCTTCCCCAAAATAGCTGCACCATACAGTGCAAGGCCCTATTAAGCAGGCCCCTCCGTGGACTGCGTTTTTTCCTCTTCTCTTGGCCCGCTGTACTATGTCGGTCTTCATTTTGCTTCCTATCAGCTTCACAAAAATTAAAGTGCGTTTCGTCGGTCAAATGTTGGCCGTGATCGATATCGTGTGGCCTTGCTTGCTGGCCGTCCGCGCCACCACGTGTTTGGTTTGACGCCATATGCTTTCTGGGGACCTAGTACGTACAAATGTTAAATCTCCCTTACCTCTACAAATTGCTTTTGGTACGGTTCGCATTGATCCTCGCGGTACTCTGCGCATGCGAAAAGCTGCTCTTGTTCCTTGTCATCATAAACGGCTAGATTCGGTGACTGGGCATGATTTGTTTCTCGTCTATGCATGCCCCGGCTGATCTTCGCTTGCGACGTTGTCTGATTGAGTGTTTGCCAGAACGCGAGCAAGGTTGTAAGTTGCAAATTGGCACGGAGCATTTCTTTACCGCTTCCCTGTAGAGTCTGCGCAAAGCCAATTAGCGCGGTACGAACGCCCCGACCGTCTGACAAACCGACTTTCCGCTCGATTCTTCACCCTGCAAAGCAGCTGGGTCGCGGCCGCGCCCGAGGGGGGTTTAGACCAGTGCGCGTCGGCTTCGCGGCCGCGCAGCAGGCTAAGCAGGCGACCCACGTGGTCGCCGCAACGGACCCCGGTTTTGCGTTCGCCTCCGGGTTGATCGGCCAGATAGCACTGGTTCTTCCGTACGCAATAGGACTCTTTGATTTGCGTTCAAGGCTAGCTGAATTTGTTCACTTTTTTGGCCGTTCATTTTGACCCTTCGCTATTGCCTTTGGCAAGGATGTTGGAATTTCACGTGGGAATTTGCCCAGTAGAGAAATTTGGATGCGGATGACGCCACGTCACACTAAGAAGCGGCAAGATATCAACCATGAGAAGAATCCTTCGCTGATGTTCGATCAGCTGCTACTGGCAGACGTTTTCCTTCAAGCGCAGCTTATGAACATGCTCTGAAGTATCTTGTCTCTAGCTCGCAATCTTGGGTTCTTCTCAGGAGTGGTGACTTTTAAGCCTTAATTCTGATGTTCGTCGGGTGACTGGCCGTGATTGTGGTAGAAATCATTTGGCACCTGTGATTCTTCAGAAAGCATTGCCTCTCTCTTGATATTCGTGGTGCCAGAACACAGTGTTGGGTTGAGCACCACAAAGCAACGATCTCGTTCGAAGTTTGCAATCGCCAGTTTGATGACCAACTCAACGCTTGACGGAGTTCTTGCAAGTTTGGGCTCGTCTTGCGCTTCCTCATCTACTTCCGATTGATGTCTCACTAGCTCGCTTTGATATGCAAGGATTTAAAGGACATGGGCTTTCCCAAGAAGCTATCTACTTGGTAGAGCTTTGATGCCGAAGCGCCTGCTTTCGCAGTAACAAGGCTGCTGCATGCTCTTCTCGCAGCAGATACACACAATCGGCAAATGCGTAACATTCTAGCTTGATTTCTTCCACGTGCGAGCTCCTTGCTGCTTTCTACCGCCTCGATCCTTTGAAAGTCGAATGGCTGGCTATGATGCCTTGGCTGTTGGCAAACTCGCCAACTGGGCGCATGTAGATCAGATGCTGCTGAGGCCATGTTGTATTGAAGCGACTTGCATGGAGATCTACTTATAGCTTTCCTTCTTCTCCATTATGGCATGATGTGGTATCGTGCGTGCGGTTCTTATCCTTGCTTACGAAAAACGTACTGCACTGGATCATTCTAAGTTCTGGACTGTCAAAACCAATCAGCTTCCTCTCGCCTTGATTTGAAGCAGCCCTCGAAGACTGGCAAAACCTTGTACATCTGGGCCTTTCCACTTTCTTTCCAAGGAGCAATACTTCAAGTTTTGCGGCATCTCTTCGGCTCTGTTATGCTCTGGTTCGCCTTCAAAAATCTCACGCCCTGAGTCGACAAGAGCTGCGACGGAATATCCGGGACGTTTTGCATGCTTTTGCTGACGTCTGACTTGCTGCACCATCATTTTGAATGATATGCACTTCAAGTTCCTTCCCAGCTTCGTTCAGCTAGAGCCCAATTTCCGACCAGAGCAAAACAAAGAATCTAAATGTTCCGCAAAAGGCTGTCGTCTGAGAGATCAAAAAATAACGGTAGTGGCCTGCATGATAGTCGTGCAACCGAGTCTTAGCGTTTCTGGATGGTGTCAAGTTGTCGACGTCCGAGTCTTAGCATGAGCTCAAGGTCTTTCGTCTGCCACAGATCTAGGAATTCGACGAGATTTGTCCTTCTCAGCCGTCTGTCGACTTGTTAGGGGGCTGGTTTTGATGGTAGTAGACCTTGTCTGCTGGCGGCTCTCCCTGCGGAGAGTTCTGCTGGAGAATTCTGACGCCAACCTCAAGAAGCATCAGAGATTTGGCCTTCCAGTATCGAAGACTCTAGCCTTTAGACAACTTCCTCGCGCTCTGGAGCTGCGCTCGTAGCCTAAACCAGTTCCCTGTGGGCCTTTCCACTTTCTACCCAAGATCACTCTTTCTATTTCTGCGCGCGTATCGCGTCCTCTTGTTATGCTCGCCGGGGCTGCGCTTTGGACTTCACGCCTCGAGTTGATGAAAGCTGCGGCAAAATTAGCGGCTGCTTTTGCTGACGTCTGACTAGTTGCTGCGCTTTCCCTCCATGATGCGCAAGCAATCATCCTGTGTATAGCTTCCTTCTTACTTTTGTAACAGCAACCAGATCCAGAAAGTACCGACGTATATGCCGCTTGGAAGATCGTCCCAAGTCATCGTGGCAACTTGCAGACAGCTTTCGCTTAGAAATAATCGCTTGGCGGCAGTGGCCATGATAATCGTCCCTTCCTAGTAGCCTCTGTTAGGGGGCAGACGTATGATGCCACTTCACGTTGAGGTGGAAAAGGGACGCCGTAGGCCTGTGAAGAAGGGCCGGTTCTAGATCTTGCGATCTAGCGCCCGGATGACGAAGGGGCAATTCTCAATTCTTTCAAGGGGGGCTCTGTGTTCATAACGCCTTAGGTATATCCCAAGCTGCCGTTCTTCCTCCCTTGAACGAGCCATTCGGATCTTCCTTCACGAAGCACTCTGGGTTTCCTTCCCATCCCCCATCCCTTCAAATTATCCCGCCTGCTCACCGAAAGTATGTTCACGAAGCTGTTCCATCGTCTTTTTTTAAGGTGCGTTTAAAATTGGGCAACTTTGGTCCAACAGCAAGCTCATGCATACGGACCTAACGTACGAAGACGGCTGCGCGCGTTTGTTCTGAGCTTCTCGTCGAAACAATTGCGGCTACCTCGAAGAGCCCAAAACTCCCAGGCCATCTCGTGGCTCCATGGTCCGTATTTCGAAAGCTTTACTTGACACGGCTGCTTTCAAAAACTTCAAGTACGCCGGTCATTCAGTAATAGAAGCACGCGAACATGATTGCTGCAGCACGTAGTTCTCTAGTTCAATATGAAAACCATGCTCACGAGTGTGGAAGGTATGGACGTTTGTTTAATGCGCCCCTCTAAGCTTTGGATTTTCATGCAGGGGTGCTTGGCGAGGTCCTGTTCCTCTGATCAACGTAGCTAACCGTGACGATCAAAAGAAGAGTCTGGCTCCCGGTCTGGCTTTTCTAGAAGGATCTGTCTGCGTGCGAACCGGTCGGGATTTCAGTACGTCGCTCCTGTTCATATGAAGACATTCTTTGCGCTAATTCAGCTTGATGACACTTCCTTTCCAGGAAGATTGCTTTCTCCTTCTTCCGTTCACTTCCGCTACGAGCCGAATTGTGGTCCGCTCTTATCTCCCGAAGGCCGCAACAAAATGAGTCCACGTGAGCTCCGCTGGCGCCCGGAGGCCCATGCCCGGACCGAGATAAGCAACCGCCCGCCGGGCCGCCCGCCGTCCACAAGAACGATCAACTGGGCGACCTCTTGATCACGTATATTGGCTCAAGGCAAGCTTCAGCACTTTATGCTTTCCGATCGTCGTTCGACCCTCGACGACGCCTTGGCGCGATCTGACGGTTGAGACTACGAGCGCGTTTGAAAATTCTTGGGTGCACTCCGCTACCTGTCCAAATATCTGACATGAGGTCTACTTGAGATCGACTGCAGGGCAAACTGGACCGTTAGGTGAGTGTGAGTATGAGTATGGGAAGGGCGAACTTCGGAACCTTGAATCTATTGTCCTTGAAGTACCGGTAATCTTGCGATCTTGTAGCCAGCTTTCAGAGCTTTGACAAGCTCGTTTCTTCCTGACCGTCCGTGCCATTGAATCCGATCGGCGCACCACGGTCACGAAGCGCCTCTTAGAATCCGAAAAAAATGCTACCTACCGTCCGATAGAAAACAAGATTGATTGGACGGCTCATAAGTTCCCGGGCGCGGTAAGATTCTCGGTTCCTCGCAGAAACAGGTCTGTATGTATTGGTTAGGGCCAAAAGCTGTATAACCAGGCTTAACCAGGCCTCCAGAGCATGGTGTTGAGACGTCTGTCCGGAGACAAAATTTGGATGCTGGACTCTGCTGCTAACCCTATTTGGGTCAAAGTCATCAAAATCTTGGTTCCGGGCGGACGTGCAAAGTACCCCTCGGAGCCTGGAACCGGTTGCAAGGGTGCTTTGTGACCCTGGCGTTACACTGGATGCCATTGACCACTTGCCCGTGATAGCGGCTGTAGTCGCTTGGATTGGTATGTAACGCAAAGTAGTCCCTGGTTACATCACGTCGTCGCACGTCCTGCAACGAGCATGCCGCTCTGAGTAGGACACAGTGAGAATACGTCCAATATTGGGCGCTGCCAGTTGCGCAAAAGCGCTGCCGATCAGCTCTCTCTGTGTCTTCTGAAGGGTCAAGAGTTCCTGCGACAAAGCGCGTCGGACAGTGCAAACGACATTGCAGAACTGCATTGAATCCGCTGCTAAGTTGATAAGTTGAACTTTATCTTTCAGGGGAGTGACCTCCGAGAAATCATTATGTAGCCGCCTTCAAAGACAGCCTATGCTATTCGAGTTCGACCAAAACCCGCTCTCCTAACGTCACAAGTCCCTCTCTATCAGAAGCTGATGTAAATGCTGATGTCAACAGGGAGCAGCGCATTGTCAATTCAGCTGAGAGCGCCAGCTGTTCAATTGATCCAATGCGGCACTCCTGCCCAGTCCGACAATTTCGAGATTTCATCAGGAGAAGCTCATGCAGATTGTGGTCTGGTTGAGCTGCAGAGAAGTATCGAAAGTAGATCCCTTGCATGAACCATATAGCAGCCCCTGCTGATTCGCCCAGGCACAGAAAGCGGCGGAAGGCACCCTACACACCATTTGACTCGCATCTCTCAGAATACGACGTTGAGGGAGGCAGTCCTCGCCTCAAAGAGCTGACTCACGGTGACACAAAGAAGGGACACCACAGTCCCAAGCAGGTCATTGGTGGCTTCTGGTGGCCTGCAAGTCCGCCCCACGCAAAAGTGGATCCTGCTCTTGCTGAAAGAGGGCCTGCGTTGGCGATAAGCAGGATGGCTGCTGTCGGAGCGGATGAGAGCAAGGGGCGTGGCACTCCGAGCTTCCGGAATCCTACACGCAGCACAGACAATCTGCTGAAGGTCTTCTGCGGTGTAGCAATTCTCCTGATCATGTAAGCTTCCATCCATGCAATGTTTTGAAGTCGTCTTTCCTGGGTGGCTGTGGCACCATTAGGGTTCCTCGCAAAATTAGGGTTTGAGCGTCATCCTAGGGTTCTGAACGTGCATTTCATTACAAGACATGCTTTCCATTCAGTGTGTCCAGATAGGGGTCATGAGCAATAGTTTCCTCGTTATACTGGATTTAGACCTGTGCTCGGGTTGCTACTTGATTCTGCTGGCCAATGAAGTGGACTTTAGGTCTTCTCAGAGCAGTGCAGATTGAAGAAGCTTTACTTTGTTGGTCCATCCTCACTTGCTCAGGATTTGGAGGTCTGCTTATCTATAGAACTCGTTGGTGGCAAGGAAACCCTCAAAGATAACATAGAGCGCAAAATGAATCCACTGTACATGGCATTATCTGGTTTCAGCAACAAACCTTGTCACTTGCTCCAATTCCGTATGTGTATCTTTTCTAGGCAATCAAGCATAGGTCACGTACTTTATCGTATCTAGATTTCTCTGGATACAAACAATCTGTGCAAAGCAGTCCAGGAGACCTCCTAATCAGCTGCCACCAGTGAATGCTTATTACAAGTAGACTATCGTCTCGGGATTCATCTGAAGCAAAGCTTTCTGCCTGTGAAAATCAAACATGTCTCGTGTTGGCAGGTCTAATCTCACCATACAGCACCAACCTGCCTCCTGTTGCAAGTAACAAGCTCGTGGCACTGTTCTCACTTGATCAGATCCAATCAAAGCAGAACGCTAATGACTTTCTCTAAAACGACTCTCCCACTATCCTCAGTGGCATCACCGCACTTCATCACACCTCTCCACGACATCATCACTCAGACGAAACGTCGGATGGGAGCTACCGACCGACATGGGGAGGCTCTGCATGGGAGGCAACTGTGCGGAAGTCAGCAGAGCGCTCGGAGGATGGACACTTGGTTGTGCTCGTGACTGGGGCTGCAGGGTTTGTGGGGTCGCATGTGTCAATGGCTCTGAAGAAGCGGGGAGACGGAGTTGTTGGTCTGGACAACTTCAATGACTACTATCCAGTTGCGTTGAAAAGGGCTCGTGCCGCGAATCTTGCCAACGCTGGCATGTGAGTCCTCTCAACCAGGTCGTCCGCTTGGTATGGTTCAAATAGGAATTGTATCAGATTGTGGTGTCACATGTGACGACTGCAGATGAAGGCCCTTATCAGAACAAGATGAAACCAAAGAATCCAATCGCAGCATCTATCATCAGTTTGTATCAGCTTAGTTTCAGCCTCGTCAGCAGTCTTGCAGACCGAGACAATCTAGGTTCATCAGTAGCTTGCAGACAAACAAAGTTCTGTGTTGTGATCGAAGGGCAAAGGCAATACTGACTTGGTCTTCTTGATAGACACCACCGAACAAAGTCTAAGAAGGAAGAAGATGGTCAATGGCTGCCATGCGTGATCAAAACTCAGATCAGACCCAATTCATGGAAGCTCACAAGCTGACTGAAGCTCGTCTCTGTCTGTCAACAGTTTCGTGGTGGAGGGTGACCTGAACGATCAAGCTCTCCTAGCTCGCCTTTTCAAGCTTGCGGGAATCACGCACGTCCTTCACTTAGCTGCTCAGGTGAGAATCAGAATTGCCAGAGGAGAAGTAGCGACCCTCCACATTTGAGTCCAAGCAGGTTATGAGTGATGCATCGAGTCCAGATGCTAGCGTTCCGTCTAAGCAATGGTTTGCAGGAATCGAGTTGAGTAGGCGCAAGTGCAACCCGCTCAAGTCTTCCAAACAGATGCTCTGAGCTTGATAGACTCAAGCTGTTCTTCCAGAATACAGGAGAAGCCGTTACGTTCGAAGCTCGCTGGTCGTTTTGACGGCAGTCTTGCTTCCTATCATCCATCAACTTCGAGCAGAGTTTCAGCGAGTTCTGAAGCGAAGCTGTGATTCCGAGAAATAAAAGGAGCTGTTATCTATTTTGTTGGAATGAGTGAGCTTTTGGTCCCGTTGACAGCGGTCTTCCTTGGATCCATACATGATATTGAGCCAATTCTTTCTTGTACCGCAGGCTGGAGTTAGATACGCTGTCCACAATCCCAAGGCTTATGTGCACAGCAACATCGCCGGGTTTGTGTCACTGTTTGAGGAATGCAAGGTAAGTCCTGCCTAAGCCTTCGCCGGAATCAGCTTCAATGCCTGAACATACTTGCATGCGACATCCTCGGGCTCCTCATGCCAAGGAGGATGAGTGCCTGCTTTCGTTTTCCTCTTATTTAGATTGTTATAGTCAATCCACTTCACGAAAGTCGAGCTGTCAGACCATTGTCCCCCATCTTCATCGGAATGTCCCGCTAGTTGGCTCCAATGAAAGCATTTTGCTTCGTTGATCAGCTCTTAGCACATCAAGCTCCTGCTGCGCTCAAGTCTTGCAAACTCCGTCGAGAGCAATTGCCTGCATTAGATGCTTGACCAGACTTCGATTTAAACAAGTGTCGTCTGCCCTGCAGAATGCGAAGCCTCAACCAGCCATCGTGTATGCGTCCTCGAGCAGTGTCTACGGGACGAACGAAAAGGTGGGGAATCTCCGGCATGAATGCACGAGTCGATCTTCACGCGCTGTTTCCTGAGCAAATCCGTTGACACCCTTGTCAGACTGGTGTCTTCTTGATAATCTAACTGCATAATCCAATAGCTTTATCAGATATAAGTTTCTGCAAAAATTTGACGTTCTCAAGCTGACCTCGGCCTGTTTTTGCTTACAGGTGCCCTTCTCGGAAGATGACCGGACCGACCAGCCCGCCAGCTTGTATGCAGCGACCAAGGTACGCCCCAGCTGACGTCAGCTGCGGAGATCGTATATTCCGGACGCTTCGCTCTGCCATTTTAAATTCTCAACTTTCATTTCGGCTACCGTTCGGAGGGATAGAAACTTTACCACCTCTGTGCGCCGCAAGTACCTGGTAGCTGGTGCTGATGTCAGCGCCCGTGGTGCCAATCTTCTCTCGTTTCTGCGGGCTACTCGCTGACATTTCTCGTTTGGGGCTACTCGCTGACGTTTCTCGTTTGACCTGCTTCTTCCAGAAAGCTGACGAAGTTTTGGGGCACACGTACAACCACATCTACGGCCTCTCCATCACGGCTCTCAGGTACTGCCGCGTGTACCAAACCTTTGCAAGGCATGTTGTTACTTCGTATGCTTGAATGTTGTGGCGTGTTCGACCATCAGGACAACTGTTTCCTGAGCCTTCTTTTCAGCCAAGAGTCCTTGCACGATGATTCTTTCCACCCTCTGTTTGCACTTACACTGTTTCATGTTTTCGACATTATTAAACATCACCCCGTTCTTTGAGCCAGAATTGACATCCCTCTCAGTGAATCTTCGCGGGTCCTCTGAGAAGCTCCAGGGTATTCGTCCTCAGCGCTGACTCAAATGCAATCCGCCATTCCACCCCTTACTTCGCCCTCGTACCTGAATAATAGTTACGCTCTTCCGATACCCAGGGTTTTCGCCAATCTCTTCGAACTCGCATCTGAAACTATTCGCACTGTGCTTACCCTTTTCTCGAACCAGCATCCAAGCTTATTCACACTGCTCTCGCCCCCAGGTTCTTCACCGTGTACGGCCCCTGGGGCCGCCCCGACATGGCCTACTTCTCCTTCACGCGTAACATCATGGACCGCCAGCCGATCAAGATCTTCCAGGGCCCGGACCAGACCGAGCTGGCACGTGACTTCACGTTCATCGATGACGTCGTCAAGGGCTGCATAGCGAGCCTGGACACCGCGGAGCCGAGCATCGGGTCCGAGGGGCGCAAGCTGGGCCAGCGCGCGCAGCTGCGGACGTTCAACCTGGGAAACACGCAGCCGGTGCAAGTCAGCACGTTCGTGGGCATCCTGGAGAAGCATCTGAACCGGGAAGCCATCCGGAAGTGAGTGGTGTTTGAAGTGTGGAGGCTTTGCGGGGTGGAGCCGTTAAGCTTAACACTCTCTTGGGCCTTTTAGGAATCGAGGTCGTTAAGAGTGTCGAAAACGACAGATATGCAACGTTTGAAAATCTTGATGTTTCTTAGTCATCCCGGAGAAATCTGAACCGGGAAGCCATCCGGAAGTGAGTCGTTTTCAAATTGTGGAGGCTCTGCGGGAGCGAGCCGTTGAGCTTAGCACTCTCTGGGGCCTCTTGGGAGTCGATGTCGCTCGAGCTTTAGACTAGTTTGATCTTGCAATGTCAAAGATTTTGGAGGCTTCGCAAAGATTTTTGCACCTCGGGCAGGAGGCCATCCGATAATGACTGGTTCTGAGTGCTTAGAGGACTTTCGGGGGCGGGGCGTTAAGCTTGATCTTCAGGCCCTTCCAAGCAATGAAAAGCGTCAGAGTCTCAAGGATATAGAGTTTGCAACGTCAGGGAAGTCTTCGTTTCGTGGGGCTTCCTGGAGAAGCACATCTGCCTGAATCACTTCTGGAGCTCGAGGTATTTACAGTGCTTGCCGTTTCATAATCAGAGGTTTGAAGGCCGTTCAAGAATTGAGGGGCGTCAGATCCCGGACTCGAGATTCTCGACTGTAACGGCTTTACCTTCTTCTCGACCTTTAAAGAGACGCTTCAAAAGTTAGTCGGACGATCAGGCTTATTGTTCTTGTTGGGAATCCTCTCCGTTTCCTGCTCGCAGTTACATTCCGATGCCCAGTACTGGCGACGTCCCCTTCACGCATGCTAACGTGACCAGAGCACGAAATGAGCTTGGGTGAGCACGCCTCTCTGCGCTTTAGCTCGGGTTTAGTATACCCTTTCTGAATCAGACATTGGAGACGGACAGAGGTCTTCATCCATAAAACCTGCAGGTACTGCTTGTTTGTTCCGCTGCAAGGTTGCAAATGTTTCCGTTCAGAGCCAGTAGCGGCGGAACAGTGCCACCAATACGGATCGGCTATTGAAATCTGAGAGCAAGCTGGATCGAAGCTCTACGCTGCTGTTGTAGGCGGACACTTCTCAAAGTTTCGTCGATTTTGCTTCTGCTTACTTCGGTAACTTCTGTTGGCAGTCATATGCTTCAGCCGCGTAAAGAAAGAGGACGAAAAATTGTGAAAGCTCCTTGGATGAAATAAGATGACTCTTTTATAGATGTAGTCAACGTGGTCCAGCACTAGATGCTCTTACTAGAACTTTACGGCTATTTGGAGACATAATCATCGGTCTTTCTTGTCACAGGTACAACCCGTCCACTGACCTCGAGACTGGACTAGGCCACTTTGTCAAGTGGTACCTTGATTACTACGGCCAGGGATCAAAGAACGAAGCTTCGCTTCAAGGTTACAAGCCGTACTAGTACCCCTGCTTTGATCTTCCATAAAACGGCTTCATTACTCGGCATTGATGCACGCGGAATTCAGCAAAGGTCTCCGGCCTTTCCAAGCCATATTTTAGCGTACATGGATGCAAAAGTAGCGTAAATCGAGCAAGGACTGACTTAATCGGATAGTTACAGTCAAGTGGCCCTTGAAACAAGGTGAGAAGCACATATTTTAAGTGCAGAATAGACTGAAATCATTCTTCGAGTTCAGGCCGTAATAATAAGAAAAATATAAGCCATCCAACGCCTTGTTAGATTGACAGAGCCAAGAGAAGAAGCTGAGCTAGCTGAGCGGCTACTGAGCACGTTATGTAAGACGGTGACCATCTACAGTGCCTAACTGATTGGTAAGTGTGTTCGATCCAATCGGTTGAAATCAATCACCATGTGTTAAGGGAAGGATGAAGCCTCGGACTCAAGGCTGAGCGAGAGAGGGAGTCCATAGCGTTCTAGAAGTAGCCCGCGACCATGCCCCTAACTCGGAGGCCGCAGAAGCCACCACTCCAGATCTCAAAAAAGATTGCCGTGCAGGATAAGGTAGTTTCAGCCGTCAAAAAGTCCATCGACGGCGCAAATGTGCCCCATCCAAACAGCAGACAGAAAGTAGTGACAATTACGGGGCAAAAATGCTCTGCGCGTGCACAGTGTGCAATTTGCCGTACCGCCGCACGAGCAAAATGTTACCGGAGGCCACGCGTCGCATGTATCGACCGCCAAATATACCACGCGGTCCGAACCTGTCAGACTGCGCAGAGGCACCGTACGGTCACGGAGTTCAGCCTCTACGGTAATGTGCAATTAACTTTGACGTTGGGCGGTAGCTTTAGAACCTCGCGCGATAACTCGTAGAGGCGGCGTCGATTACAAATTTTTTGCCTGTGACTCGACTCGGCCGGTCGCGATAGGCACGGTGGAAACTTCACCGAGGGTAGACTCTGAGTGTAACAACAAGGTGAATAGATGGTCGGACAAGTAGTCGGGAGCTATTTGATTTCCCGGTGCTTGTGTTTGGAGCTCAACTGCCCCTAACACTGCCGCCGAACCTTATCCTGCAAACGAATCTTATCCAAATTCCCCGAGCACTTCTCCATCAAGCAACCGGGCTGAGTTAGGGGCATGGTCGCACGCTACTTCTAGAACGCTATGGTCAATGACACAAATGGTAAGTAACGGTTATCCAGGCGCGGCTGCCCGCCACGACGCTGTAACGGTGCATGTGCCCTATATAAAATTACATAGCCAGAGCTGCAGGGCCGCGCCCCGCTGGCGCCTACAGCCGGTGCCTGCATGTCCCGGCCGCGACAATTCTTGGTACCATGCATGTGGCCTCATGTGCATTGCATGATCGGATGTTAGTACCGGTACATGTGCCATTGCACACTGAGGGCCCCGGCGCGGGCTGCCGCGCGACAATGGCCGCGGGCCCCGATCTGCAATCGCGGCAGCTAAAATCATTTTCGCCACATGCATGGTTCATATAGCATGTAGGGACCGGGACCGGCGCTAGCAGGCTCGCGCCTGAACTCGCCCGTATAAATGTTATATAATCGCAATTCAATAGTTACTAAGTATAATAGGCCATATGCGTTAGTACAGGATCCGACGAGGTGTGACGTGCGAAATGAAAGTAGGAGCACATGATACTGATGATCGAGGAGTGACGGCCACTGCAACGTACGTCCGGTCACGTTGGTGAAGCTAGATCTCATTTGGCATCATGTCACCTGATAACTTGTGCAAATGTATGCGTCCACGGTCCAATCCAATCGTATGCAAGCTGCCATATTGCCAAAAACGAGTTTGGCACGAGGTCAATGTGGACAATACACCTACTCTCGATATCGATTGGCACTGTTTCGAAAGTGGCACATATGTGCATGGCGCATACAGCAAAGTGCACCTTGACAAATAGATGAATGCACGATAGCCGGTTGGATACCCGGCCACACAACCATCCATTAGTTTGTTCATTGGTGGCGCATGTCGAACCTTCGGAAAATCCAGCTAAACACAGGCGCAATGATAGTGGCGTGCATGCACACAAGTACCCTGTCCAAGAGAGAGGATTGGCAGAGAGCAACAAACTACCTTGCAATTGCTCTAACACACTGATCTGATGTCAACGTACTCTCAATGGCTTCAAAGCACTTTCATGCTGGAAAGCTCCGCCGTCACATTTTAGCAGATCAAGAGGAAGACAGAAAGATCAGGTTTGTTACAAGTCAATCAACTGCTCACGACCACAAACGATGAATAGCAAACAACTTAAATGAGTAGTCCGCAATCTGGCTTGCTTTCCTGTAATGAAAGCCCGGCCAAAAACCAAGAGTTGAAGAACTGCGCCAGCAAAACTGCCTTCAAAATGAAGCAAAAGCCACCAAACAATTGCAATGACACAGATGAAAACAAGGCCTGCAGCCCCTCTGAAGATCCTACGCAGAGCAAACGGCTTCTAATGAACTTGTATTTATAGACTGCTAATCACCAAATGAGGCCCAGACTGGGGGCATAAATGAGAACTTTCACTGCTGACATTCTCTGAAGCAAGCAACTCACTCGAAAGTCGTCTTTGAATGAAAGTGTGACCCAGAAGAAGGAAGTCAACTTGCAGTTATCATATCACCTGTGTTGAAGTACAATTACGCGTATTTGTACTTCAGCGTTCAGCATGTGGAACTATCCTAGCTTTGCTCAGGCCGAGCAGGACCTGTTGCTAGTCCCTGTGCTAGCAGAAGCCGACCTACACAATGATCCCTCACTGCCTGCAAGGGCCTACCAGTAATACCAAAAGAAAGCAGTCTTTGCAAACAAGATGTTTATTCTACACAGATTGGGTGAACTCCTTAGCAGAGCTTGCAGCTACTATACCAAGCAATCAGAGCAACTACTCGTCTGCATCCGGCTCGTAGTTCTGCATCTCCTGTTGGTACCTCTTTTTGTCTTGTTCCGCTTTCTTCAAGAATGGCTGCAAGAGACGGACAGTGCGTGCATGTCAGAAGACATATGGGTAAGCTGGTGGTACAGGGTTGCAGAATATGACCTACTGGATCTGATGGAGGTAAAGAAACAGAAAAATGCAAGTCCCAGAGGTTGGACGTGCCAGCCAGCCCGGCTACAATTCCAGCAATATGAAAGTCAATCTAACCCCCGCAAAGAGCCTTGTTGACTCAACAAACAGAAGGGACTGGCCACAATCAGCATGGTGAACAGAATCAGTTAGAAGCAGAAGCAGTAATTACTTTGCGGAGTAGACTAATTGCTCAGATCATGGAACCAATCCTTTTCAATGTGTTACGTATTTCGATTCGTCTTAGGTGTACTCCAGCTTCTATAGCTGCCAGATCCTTTGGAAATACTGAATTTACCAATCTCTGAAGATTGTTTGGAAAAAAACGCCAATGACTCATGAATTGCGACTGGAGATCACCCCTTCAACCCAATCTTCACGACTTTTATAAATCAATTGCTTTTCTGCGAGCAAGCAACCTGCACGCTCAGCAATGTTCTTACACAGCTTACGGGAGGTGGTAATCTGCAAAAAAGAGCTCACCTTCTTTTCCTTCTCTCCCATGGCGCTCCACTGCTGGCCGAGCACTTTTCCAATCTCCCCGAAGCTGATGTCAGGCTGGCTAGCCTTCACCTTCTCGCGCTGCTCCTTGCAGTAGAACATGTAGGGCGCGAGCGGCCGCTTGGGCGCGTTGGGGTCCTTCTTCTTCTTCTCCTTCTTGGCCGCGGCCTTCGGCATGGTGGCTGCTGTGCTGCTCTCCCTTGAAGCGTTCTGCTTGCTGGTGAATTGGCCTGCCTAATCTGCGAGTGTGATGGCTGGGGCGTCTGAATTGGCTCTGGAAGACTTCTTCTTCTCAACTGAGCACGATTGCCTTGCCAGACTTTCTGCTTTCTAATCTTCAGCCTTGAGACTGCCCTGAGAAGACCTGATCGAAGGACTTGGTCAAATTGAGATTTGAATTTTCCATGCTCTATCTTCGACGCTACTACTTTTGGTCGAAGCAAATAGATATCAAGCTTCGGCCCAGCAGTTACGATACGAACAGCACTTGGTATCGAAAATCGAACAGCGGCAAAGTTTCAGGGTCGATGGGGTTTGCTAGCGCTCTGGCCTCACTTTGCCTGGCGAAATTCTCCCCTGCCGCAGGGGCGGATCGCCAGGCAAAATATCCCCGGGCCCTCTCCAGGCAAATTTTGCCTGGGGCGGGGTTCCCGCGCTTCGTCAGCGGGCCGACCGAAAATTCAAATGTGACTGCAACGGCTCAAATGAGCCAATCGGAAGCCCGTATTCAAACAGTCCCGCCCAATGAGATTCGAGCATAACACAGTGGGAGTGCGTGGCAGATCCCAACCTGCAGCGTGTCACCCAGCTCGACAAACCCTAACAAGTCCCGCAGAGGAAATTCCTGAATCTGGGTTGGCCCCGGGGTTTTCTTGGCAGGGGCAGGGAAGTTCTGCGCCCTGCCAGCCCTCACCATTTTCCCAGCATAAGAGGAATCTGGTAGTCGTCCGATGCGAGCGACTCACCGTCGATGATGGCGACTCGGAGCATGTTACGACACCGTCCGATAACAACATAATGTCAAATGGACGGCTCGAGGCCTCCGAAAACCTGTCCAAGTCCATGTCTACGAACTTCGGATGCTAGGATGCACTCAATGACACTGTCAGCCGCCTGACTCAGTGAGGTACGGTCAGAACGTTCTCTTTTCAAAACGCCGTAGTCACAAGGACCTCAGGCTTCCATGTGGCATACCTATGCATGAGACATATGGTTTAGTCTTTGAGCTTTGAGCGTCTAGCTAGCTAGTAGCTACCCTATCGAATATAACTTGTGCATTCAGCGCCAATGCGTACAGTTGAAAGGCATCTACGTGGCATCTACGGTAAAAATATCCATGCCATAATACTTGGGAGTACGGTAGTGGCTCGATACCTACGGTAGTCCAATGTAAGACGCATGCTAGACCATGGTATCATGCCATCATTCTAGAGCAATTTAGCAGTTCACTCGTCTGGCCGGAACATGATGGTTAAAAGTGCCCGTTTAGTGCGATCCTCTTCAGCCGCAGCGGGCCACCCTATTGCGCAAGCCTAAATGAATAGGCCATGCCAATGATGTACGTTGACGGGATCACAAATTTGCCAGAATAGCGCTCGATCAGCTATAACGCGTCCTGCCTCTAGTGTGCGGCCGCGTCATGATCAAGTTAATTATAGTTCGTATACCGCGGTTATATATGCAACATACCACGACCCGGTACTTTGGCACGACATGCTGCATATCATGCCGGTCCTGCCTGGTGGCACTTGCCCATTGAGGCTTGTGCATTGAGGCTTGCCAAGGACGTCGCCAAGAAAGTTGCCCGGCAGCCAAGAGCTTTTCCGAAGTACGGTATGTTCAGTCGAAAATTCAACTTCCATGCACCGGTTCATATGTGACAAGCCCCGAAAGTATAAGGCTTTGGGGGACACAATCTTCACTGAATTCTGGAAAGATTCAGGGGCGGCGGAGGCCGACAACCGGCACGGCCGTCCAATCAAATGGTGTACTAAGTTTGTTTGTGGAATGATCGATCGAAATTGTTGTCAATCCGGCCATTCCCATTGTACCATAGCCTACTGTAAAGACAACGAATGCTTGTGAGGGTAAACACTGTCTCCAAGTAATGCATTCACCTGAAAGTTTCAAAAAGACGGACTGTAACAATTGCATGGGTCAGTTATCAAGCTCAATAATGAATCAAGTTGAAGTCCTACAAAGGGTACGGGGGACCTGGATCGTCGATCCGACAATGTCAATTGGCAACGAAGTCAAACAACTTTAGCATACGTCGACGAATGCGGTGCGGCCTGAAAGTGCTCAATTCCTCCAGCTCACTTGCTGAGCCTCGAACAATTTCTACTCTCAACAAACCCAAATTGCGCATCGCTACAACCTTCATCTTGGGGAGTACTAGCACCCGCAAAAGCACATAAATGTGACGACTGTCCAATCATTACGATTCGCAGCAATGCAACTCTCATGAGCCACATGCACCTTGCCTCAATACTGACTGAGAGCTTTGACGGCAGCAATTCCCCCTCGGAACTGAACTTAGCCCCACCAGCCAACTCGTACGGCCCAAGCTTCCCAAGTGCTCTAGTCTCTAGACCTCGATATCTAACCACAGTACAATATGCGAAAGGGATGGCTTGTTCCCCCGTGCTCTAGACCTATGCCTAGCCCTGAGCATTCAGGGCGTCCCAAAGCAAGCTTTCGTTTGCGGGCGGGAGGGGTTTGCTCAAATCACGTGCCTCAAGGGCGTGCTGCCTCAGGCACTTAATGATCAACCGGTTTGCCTCCTGCAAATGAAAAGCGACACACATCAGCAACCACGTCACATGCGGGGCCTTCTACACCATTCCGCTCGCATCATTCTGGATGCAATACTAAAAAGAGCGAACGCGGTCGACCGTAAGCTGCGGGCCCAGGCAACTTGGGCAGAGGATGTTCAAGAAAGAATCTGTGTTTGCGCCAGGCGGTGGTGGGGCACCGGTGCCTCCAAGCAGATCTCTTGGACAGTCTAACCAGTTCTATCACAAACAAATGAAAGAGATCCAGAGGAAAGTGGGTTAAATATCGAATAAGCTTCTCACCCAGAAGGGAACGGAGGTGTAGCGCAGGCCGTGCTTCTTGCAGAACGCGCGGAGGGTCCCCTTGACCCGGCGCAGGTTGTGGCGGGGCAGGCGCGGGAACAGGTGGTGCTCCACCTGGAACTGGAGCCCCCCGTGGAACCAGTCCAACTGCAAACCAAACGGGTTACGGGGGGTTAATCACAGTAATTCGGGCTACCCACATAAACCGTGGTCAAAGGGAGTTGTTAGGGTCTTGGCATAGGTTGCTCCTTCTGAAGGTGGAGGCCCCCATGGAACCAGTCCAAGTGCAAACAAAATGGGTTACGGGTTAACGCCGGTGCGGGCTCACGGGCTTCTGACCTACATTAAGCGTGATTAAAGGAGAGTGATTGAGTGTTTTAGCAAAGGCGGTGGTTCACCTGAAGTGGAGCCCGCCATGAAACCAATGCAAACGAAACGGGTTACGTTTCAACTAAACCTCAAGTCTAGTTTGCGGGGGCCAGGGGATCGTGGGGTTTATGAGCGTTGTTAGAGGAGAGTGGTGGAAGAAGACTGATTGTTAGCCGTACACCGAGTCAGAATGCGAACTGATTAGTGTAGGGCTAAGGAGTTGTTCTAGATCCTGATATCAGGCACTATACCACACGTGATCGGCTTGGACGCCCGTTTGAGAACAGGTAATGTTGCGAGTGGACTGGGACCCGCCTGGAAAAGGGAAACCGCCGGCAGAGGGGCAAGCAAAGGCCGAGTTGAACGTCCAACTCAAGTTTCATTCTCTATTTGTTTAGAAGTTTCTTATCTGATGCGCTACTGAAGCGGAAAAAGGTTCTAACTTCTCACCCAGGTTGGGCAGTCAATGTCCATCGTCCCGTCCAGCTGCATCTGGACGTAGTCCTTGGTTGCCACGTGGCCGTCATAGACGGGCATCGGGAAGTGGCTCAGACAGATCTGCACCAAAACCCGACGGAGTCAGAACGGACTGAATCCAGCTTGATCGTTATAAGCGGCTGAGCGAATGTAAGGGACCGGCGAACGGCGGGTTCGGGGCAACAGAACGAGCAGAATCCGGCTTTTTTATCTGGTTCGAAGGTGCAGGGTGTAAAGTGTGGGTGCGAGCGACTGGGATTGAGCCTCCGAAGCAGAGAACGGAAGACGGCACCTGGAATTTTGGGGCAAAGATTTACTAGGCACACCCGCTCAAAACAACGAAAAGGTTTTGCTCTGGAAATCACAAGGAGCGATCCCAAAGCCAAGCAGCCATCCTCGGTGATTGCGTCTCCACTAGTATCAGGCAACCAGACAGGCAACAATGAGAAACATTGACGACATCAGCGGAGTCGCGGCGCACCTGGACATGAAGGATACCGGACAGGGCGACCGCCGCGCAGAGAAAACCGATGCGCACGGGCCAGCTGCATTAGAGATGGAGAGAATAAGAAAACGTCCCGTTTTCGGTTCACCACGATTGATGCGATGGACGGTGAGAAGAGGGTCCGTTCTCAATTCTTCAAAAGGACGGGACAAAGAAGAAAGAGCGTCACAAAAGCTCGTCAATGACATGGGCGTCTTGAAGCAAAGGATTCGACGGCTCAGGAAGCATGGGATCTACATTCGGCGTTAACCGGTTTGACTTGTACACCGTAACACGTTTGCACGACATTCTTTAAGAATCATCTTCGATAACTGCAAGACCTGTTTGGAACATCTGTCTGGCTGAAAGATGCTCTTGACGTTGCACACCATGCCAAAATCACGTCCCTGAACTTCCAGAAAGGTTTGGAAAACCCATAAAACACCTCACCTCGGGATGAAGGACATGAGACTTGCGAGCCACCCGTAGAAGACCATGAGCGCCGCAATTTCTGCGGTTTTGTCGGGCGTGTGGGGCCCCGACAGCAGAAGGATCCATGTTTGCGCCCACAGATTCCACCTGGAGACAGACAACTCTGAGTCAGCTTACCAGAGGCAGCAAAGTTATAGGCAAGCCCGAGAAGAAAAGGATTATCAGGAACCCAAGGGCGCATGGAAAGGATTGTTTCCAGCAGAATGCACCAGGGACAGGAGGTCCAGATATGGAGCAAAGAGAGTGCCAAACACCCAAACTCCTCCAAGGAAGGACTCCGAGGACAGAATTCGAACTGGCTCTAATCTTCTTGCTTCAGCAGTGACCATCTAATCAGTAACGTACCTTTTCTGCACCAAACCGCGCCCTACCCAGCTAAAGTCAACCGTTTCTTTGACCAGAACGGTAGCTGAATCAAACACAGAATAGCCCCTGACCTTTAAAGACTTTTGATAGAGGGCCAGAAAACCCGGACCATTGAGCGTTCTCTCCGCCCCTTACCTGGCCACAGCCATGATCGGGTAGAAGGTCCAGTGCTGGTAGCTGACGAGTACGCGCGCGGCACGGTCAAAGTTCATCTGGCGCTTGTGGTAGAACGAGTAGAGTGAGGCGAAGTACTTTTCCGAGACCGCAAAGAGCGGGATGTGCTGGATGTCGGGGTCGTACTGCACGTTGTTGCACGCGATGTGGTGCACATTGTGGGTGCGCTGCAGGAGGGGGGAAGGGATGCGGTCAGATCATGCTGGGAGACGGTTCAGATGAAGAGTATGTATACGCGTTATGCTAAGCTTTGTTCTGTGGCGGCATTGCTAGTCCAGATCGTAGCATGTTGTGCAAACGACCAAAAACACGTGAGCTTCGTACATATTGACTCAGAACGCCGTGAAAACGAGCGAGGGCTGTCATGCAATCTCCAGCAATAAGAGACAGTTTCTCTAACAGCTCCAGATCTGAACACCTCCCCGGTCTTGAGAAAATGCAAACATAGGACTTCGCACATGCACCAGCAGTAAAGCATCACGAAGGAGGCTACCATGGCACATTGCTGTCCACCGGGCGGTCCAAGTCCAAACTACGCGCGTTCCCGACACTTTAGCAGAGATATTTGAGTGGCAGCAACACGAGACGAGAAGAAAACCAACGACTTGTCACCAGGCAAAGTAAGGCCACACTCTGCCAGCTTCCAAAGGAGTCAGAAGAAGTAGCAGAAGAAGTAGCTACGGGCAGCGCCCCTCGCCGTCTGACAACGATTATGAAGACCGGACCCCAACAGATATTGAGAAAGAAGGGGATGACTGACCCACAAGGAAGTAAAGCACAGCCAGCAATGCTAGCCAGATCCCAGGTATACGCTGACAGAGGGCACCATCCTATGAGCTCCTTCCAATGAGGTCCAGTGGCAAAGAATAAGAAAAGGAAACATCAGAAACAAGGCGTTAAGCATCCGACTCAGACAGCAGACATTTATGAAAGAAAAGCATTGGAAGTCAGACTTGACATTACAGACACCACATGCAAACGATCAAAGACAGATCTGTGAAGCCCCCCACCTTCCACCACAGGATCCCAATCCCAGTGCACACGTTCCCCACAAACAAGCCAATCAGATTGTCGAGCGAGCGCGTGCGCGTGATGCTGAGATGCCCCGTGTCGTGCCCCACAAACGCGCACTGCTGCCAGAACAACCCCAGGAGGAGCCCGCTCGCGAGGTGCACCCAAGGCGATGACGTCAGCGTGACGCCAGCGACAACTAGAGCGAAGAGGGCCGCGATGACGAGCGCCTTGGAGAGGTAGAAGGAGGGGCGGGTCTGGAAGAGCTCGGATGACTCGAGGTCTTTGGCCAGCTGCCTGTATTCCTGGAGCATCTTGGAGGGGGGGGCGGCGGCGGCGAGCGGACCGACGTGGAACCGCGGCAGGTGGAACTTGGAGACCTGCGGAAAGGAGCGCTTTTTCAGTGTTAGAAACAATTCTCAAGAGCACTCCAGTCATGTCTGCAAAGACGATGTGTCAATACGCTCAGTGGAAGCGGGGCAGATGGAACTTGTCATTCGGCAGAGAGCCACTTGGCGCAAGGGGGAGACCTGCAGAGAGGGGCGGTCTGTTGATCTTGTTTTCCAACAATATCCAAAGATGTCTGTTGAAATTGTCTTCCGTTCTCAGGTGCCCTTTGTGTGTCCATCGAAAGCTCCCAGAGTGAACTCGCCGATGGTAGTTTTGGAGCGGTGCTAAAGCTGGAAAAAGGTGAAGCCGACAGGGGGGCGACAGGGGGGCTGAGTGATTGGCGGAAGCCTCGGGTGTTGAAGATCTCAACAGAAAATTTGGGAAATTGCATAGAGGAGCGCTCCAAAGGGCAGCTAGAGAAACTTCTCTAAGCCTGACAAAAAGCTTTTTGCTGCCCATGTTTGTCAAGTTGTGGACATGCAGAATATCCGTGTTGTGTTGTCTAACTGATCAAATCGGTTTTATTAAAACTGCAATATGTGTTTCTCAATCACTACATGGGGCGACTAAGGAACACTCTACACCAAGAGCGCTTCCTCATGTTCACACCCGTTCACCAGATCTTTGGCGGACAAGCGAAAGCGGGCATGCAAGAAAGCGCAGATGCAGCCTGAGCGGCAAGTATCTCAGTATTCCTGTACAGGTTCAAATGCAGTCCCCTTTTGAACTGAAAGCTCTGTCATTGCGCGTATAAGCAACCCCGTTGCTTTGAATGCTCTTGGCATGGGAGCAGCGTGATGCCAGACCAAGACATTGAAGCTTGTAGATCAGGGCGATGCAACTGCTCTGACAACATCGCTGCCAAACTGAGCTGTCTTCAACTTTGGCAGCACTATCCCGTGAGAGCGGTCCACCTGCCAATACCCGCATGCTCTGCTAGAAATATATGCTAATAAACGAAGTCATATCACGCGCAGCAGAGCGTCGCTGCAATAGCTTGTCATTTCGCACTGACAAGTCGCTGAGCGCTGATCTTAATCCTGAGTTCACTCTTTCACGTCTCATAAGAAGGCAGCTGCTTATTGCTACACTGATGACGTCAAGAGCACACCAATAGATGCAGAAACACATTGCAAAGCAGTCTCGATGCCTCCAATGAGAGAATTGATTGTCTCAAGCATCATGCTCACGAAAATGCATAATCACACAATCAACCGGCAATGAACAATGTTGACACCGCTGGCGTACCATAGGCTTGTGGAACGCCCTGAAGGCATCGGTGGCGTCCTGGCCAGCCATGTTCAAAATGCAGATGTCTCCTCCTGGGTGGAGCTTCAACCATTCGGTGGCCTCATAAACCTGCAAGCAGAAAGTGGCGGGTGATGACACCAGCGTATGGAACCATCAATTGAAGAGAGGAATGGGAGCAATGGAAAATGGGCACAGAAGGAAGCTAAAGAGGAAGGCATTGGAAGATACTAGCTGGGCCCCGACATTGTGCTGCCATGACCACATCCCAGACATCACCTCATGAGCTCAAGCAATGATGAGGTCTATCGCCGAGTCTGGAAACACCATTGCCTGAGCTCATCAAGTCATCACAATAGGCTCCTTCATGATCAACCAACAGACACTAGCAACTGACAAAAGCTCACCTGCCCCTCGATTGCAATCCAGCAGTCCGATGCGGTGCAGTGCCTTTCCAGCTCCTCCACCGAGATGACATCCCGCTTTGCCACCACTGGTTTTCTCTCCCCTCTCCTAGTTGGCACCAATCCAGCTTCATGGGGGATTGCTCCCACGATTGGCTGGATCTTGTCCTCCTGCCAGATCAGAGGTGCCAAGAGGCCCACCCCGTCTGCACCCTTCCCCATTGCAAGGGTTTACAATGTCTGAGCTGACGAGCTGCCCAACACCACTTCTGAAAGCCTGAAAAGGCTGAAACAAACCCTGTTTAAATACATCCAGCCATGCTATCAAAACTAAATGCACCTCCAGCCCTCTCTCACAAGGGGTCCCACGATAGCAAAAACCTTATTGCTCCACCTCTCTCCCAACTTGGAGTGGACCACGTACCTTCACAGAATGGAAGTCAACTCCGATTCACAATCAGGGCAGTCTCGAGCAACGGTTCAACGGTTCTAAAGCAACCACTGCCAGTACGTATCCTACAAATGCGAATGCGGCCCAGGCCCCAATCCTGCTTGCTTCCTCGCTGCGCCATTTGCATTGTCACAAGCCCTGTGACAAGGCACCTTCGCGTGGTGTACGTGTGCTGTCAGCCGGCTGGACAGAGTCAAAGACTGCCGACCTTCCAAATTCATGGCGTCACGACTTGCAAGCAGATTCGCAGATCTTGCGGGCTGGTGTGCACAGCTCAGAAGTCAGGCTCCTTCAAAGTTCAGACCTGGCATGAACTTGGCCAAGTGTACTGGCGAAACTGATGAGTACCAACCGTCCACTTCTGAATGTGTACAAAATACTCGGACCATCCGGGATTCAATCTCCGGCCAACCGATTACAAACGGTGTCAAGGCTGGTCAGGGTCTCGGGTCTTGGGTCGCGGGTCTGACACGGACTCACAGATCCCGTTTAGCGAATGAAGCCGAAGCGGTCAACTGACACACTCTGCTCAACTCCTTGGCCATGTACGAACGTACCGGTTCCTTTTCAGCTGCTAATGTGAGGCCGCAAATGCAGTGTGCCCGGGGGCCGGTGGGGCCGTACACGAAAGCTGACCAGGGCCGAAACTGGGGGATTGCTGTCGCCAAGTTTTGGTGTTCAAAGTTGGGCACACAATACTGGTTTCCAAGGTTGACACCATGTTACAGGTACCAGTATCTGCCAAAATATCTCCCGACCCCCGGGCCCCCAGTGACCCCCGGCCCCCGGGCCAGTGCTGCTGCAGACACAGTGCACAGTGCACACGGTACGGCACGGTACGGTCCAAATCACAAAATCTTCTGACAGACTTGAAAGTTGAGACTCTCCCGAGTCCCAAGGTTCCCACGGACTTTTGTCCCAGCCGGCCAGCTGCCGGCGGCCCCCCGTTCTGTCGGCACGGTAGTCGGCATTCGTCTCTACAGGCCGGCTGAGCCCACTATTTGCCCCCATTTTTAGCCGGCTCGCCAGCCGGCATAGGTAACCATAAAGTTTAATACCTATAAGGTACGTTCCGTATAAGGAATTTCTTCAACCGTAGAGGAAAACCGTACATGTAAAGCCCCGGGCAACACTAAAAACCTAGGGTAATGTGACCGACAGACCCTAATGTTACTGGGAAGTGCCCGGTTGTCATCCGGCTGCTTGCGAGACCCTAATGTCAGAGGGAGGGCCTGCTTGTCACCCGGTTGCTTGCGAGACCCTAATGTCCCAGGGCAGGCCCGGTTGCTTCTCGGGTACGCACCGCGCAGCGCGGGGTACGACCGCGCAATCATTAAACGTACAATCCTCTTACGCAATACAGTACCTTGTAGGTCACATTGCCTTATAGGTATTAAACTTTATTTACGGTATATCAGCCGGCGGGGTGCCTTCGGCACCGGCCAGGTCCAGGTTCTCTTGCCCGCTGTGGGAAACCCTCCGGGGCCGGGGCCGACTCCGACTAGACTCCCAAGTCAGGTCGTGACTTTAGTCGTGACCCGACTCCCAAGTGCCGGGGACCGTCGACAGATTCGCATCCTACCTGACTCTTGAGTCTCGTAATTCGCCTTATAAAGTCAAAACGACCGTTGCTGAAGAGAACCATGAACAGTCGCCGGGGATTTCCTTTACCTTTTCAGGAGTATGGGCGGCCTGGATCACAAGCGTGATCTCAATAGGCGCGTATTGTCACCGTAATTTGACCTCATCTCTTACAGCCTAATTCAAACAAATTCATCCCGCGGCCACCAAGGACGCCCCGGGTGAACACCAATCATGAATGTAGGTTTGGCACGGCTGGTGGACCGTGGTGAGTCTGTTTCACTGTTCGTACAGATCGTACAGTGTACTAGGTACCAGGTACCTACTGGTGAATGTGCGGGTCCCGGGACCGAATAGGTATGGTACGGTAGACCTACCGTTACCCGTAGGTACCTACGTACATCGTATCGGGTACATAGGTACTACCTACCAGTAACACAGAGTACCTCTATATTTCATGAATCTTTACACATTGATCACCGTTGAGAGTCAAGCTAGAGTAGCAATGTATCGTCCAAAGTTTAATACTTTTTGATTTTGCTGTATACGGTACCGGGTACTCGCAACAGTCTGACTCTAAATAGCTTTGGCCGTCCATGTGTTGTGTTCGAACTTCGAAGTTCGAAGCCATCGAGATTCGAACGAATCAGATTGCCCAAACAGTGATGGGAATTTGGCCAAACTCAAACTAGGGGGAAGTGAAAAACTTTCTCCAATCGAATGGTTACGCAACTACGGTATGTAGCCTGACCGGACAACTGGCTGGGCCTGCCTGGGCAGGCCATTGGCATTTGGCACTACTGCATGGAAGTTGGAACGTGCCTTGACAATTCAAAATCACAAATCTGTGTGCAATGCCAGTGTGTTGTTGCAATGTAGGCAGGCAACAAATTTTGAGTCAAGCAAGTCCTGCCATTCAACTGCGTTGTGTTGGGCTCCACTGCATGCTCGCGGGCGCGCATTGCGGACGGCATTGCGTGTCTGCATGAACACCTCAAAACACAGCAAGCAAGGAGGAGTTGTGTTGATCTGTGGGAAAAGATCAGAATGTGGAGTTCTTGAAGAGGCGCTCGTTTGTCTTCAAGAGCATCTGTAGGCATGGCAACTTCTTTTGGAGTCCGCCTAGCGCAGGCACCGCACCTTCCGCACAAGTGCAGAGAAGATCTTTTTCCAATAGAAGGAGCAATGCAGACCACCGCACGGGCCTCATCAGCAAGACACTACCATCCTCAACCCCAGATCTATAACCTGGCCCCATTACAAAAACTAGATTCGAGATGCGACTTCAGACCACCTGGCACAGGCGTAAAATCCACAATGCCTCTGTCCGATCCCTCCTACTTTCTGAACCCTAAAAGCACTTCACCCTGTAACACGCATGCCCGCAAGAAACAAAAGTTCTGTCTTCCAGCCAGCCGCTCCTCAAACTTTCTGGCCGGCGAAAGCCCCGGTCTAGTTACCAGTAGAGGGTGTTCCAAAGCTGGGAATGCGCGCAGAGGGGCGTACGCTCAGGTGTCCAGCACGAATCGGACGTCATCGGACAACCGTCCGGAGGAGCAGCAAGAGCCGGGGCTGCTGAAGCAAGTCCAGATCTCGCTCGCGGAAGTGAAGCCGACGCCAGCCCAAGCCATACGAGCGCGTGAGTCTCCTGTTTGGTTGGCCTGCGGTTCGGAAAGTTGGGGCTCTCCTACACTTCTTTTGCAGTGAGAAGTGGGCATGAGTATGAAGAGACGCTAAGTAGGGCCAGGAGCTTTGTTCGAAGGATCTGCTCGATTTGTGGCAGAGTGTCATGAGTGCTTAATGGAACCACTCTGAGGGATCCTAGCTGCTCTGCGTTGATTGATGGATGCGAGGGGCTAGGGAACTTTCTTGCCCCACTTGTGCCTCCCGTTTGATCCCAGCCATGCGCGCATTACAGGTCACATCCACTTAATAACCTATATCCATGCTCAGTCTACCGGTGTGTTGTTACCTAGGGGCCTGCTGTTGCAGCTGACCTTTGCATGTTTCAGAACTTAAAGGCAAGGATGCAATACGTCATCATCCGATCGGACTGTCAGAGCCCCCTCTTTGATTAACCTCACGGGTAGTTGTTGTCAGAAGATCGGAAAGAGTGGCCCTGACCAACAAGGAACAGTGTCCGCTGAGATGATGCAGAAAGAGGCCTGTTTGCCGTCTTTTCGGCAGCATACGGGTAAACAAACCCCCTTGTCCCATACCCTTTTCTAGGTAGTCCCCCCCAAATCCCTCATTTTTCTGCTGCCTGCGTCCAGCTCCAGACTCACCCTTTTCTGAGCTTCGTTTCATGTGTATCACAGCAAAGAGTGGTCTGATCGACACAGACTGCCTCCACTCAAAATATTCAGCTGGCTCCAGGCAGCTCAATATTGACGGACCGTAACTTCACCCGGTCGAGTCCCGACATTACCCCCTCCTTTTCGAATTTGCAGGCAAGGCAGCGTTGGGCGTCTTCTTCCTTGTTGGCGTCGAGCGGGGGCTGGCAGCGTACCTGAAAACGTCGGGGGCGCGCGTGTCCGCGCCAGTGTTGATGTTGGCAGCGATTGCGGTGGCGATGTCGACTCCCGATGCCGCGTCTAGGCACGGTGAGCGGAAGAAGGCCCAGCGAAATGAATGAGTGCTTAAGATTTAGAGTGACACACATACGCCGAGATCGCAACTTGAGGCTTCAAGCGACAAAAGGCTCTTAGGGCGACAGAAAATACCTGAGAAAGAGCAGTAAGCTGCGGAATGTTGTACTGGATTCGGACATGCCTTGATGGTTAATTGTTGACAAATGTCCGTCAGCATTTCTCGTATGCCGCTTTGGGGTAAAATCGGTTTCTGATAGGACCTGCATTTACCTAGATAGATGTCTAGCTGAAGAGCGAAGAACATGTTTCATCCAATATCGATTGGATGCAATGGTCGCCAGTACTTTTAGGGCATGTGTGCTCACTTCTTCCTTCCACTGTCCTTCTCGCAGTATACAATCTCTTCGAGCCTGCTCTTGGTTTCTTCGACGCCTGGCTCCCCGCATTCTTTGTTCCCTCCGTGGTAAGTCGAAAACCGAGATCCTTTGACTTCATTTCAACGGCACTCTCTACCGTTTTTGACGTGCAAGCATCTGGCCTTTGATAACAAAAGCAGAGAGGGAACCACGTATGGAACTTGGCTCAAAGCGCGCCGGTAATGTTAGTGCATGACAGAAGAGTACCAATGTAGTGTTCTTAGCGGAAGAACTCGTGTCAACCGGGAATAAAACCGATTCGTTGTTGCATCCATGCACGTTCGTTGCTGTTGTGAAAGCGTTCCTGGTGAGCGTGTGAGCGGACAGATTAGGTTTGTTATCTTGATCGAGTGGACGGTTTGTGATTGCAGGTTGGCATTACAATCGCGGAGATCCCCACTGGTCTCAACTTCGTAATGGTGGCTCTCATTACAGGTCAGCCTCAAGTGACTCCTGTAGTTCAGATATGCGTTTTTAGGCCACAACTAGGGAACATCGTCGAAGCCCCTCTCAATGATAATCTGTAGCTGAACTGAAGGCTTACAGCCACCTTCCGTTTCTAACTTCGTTCAGCCTACGAGGGTAGTTACATGAAAAGCCGTTTAAGAGGCCCGTCTCGCTCTCTTTTGAGATACCCACTCTTTCTATTCACGGCCGCTTCCGCACGGCAACCCCGCCAAAGTTTTGCTTTCCCGCCCGTTTCCTGGAACTCCGACGACCTAAATTACAAAACGTGGAGCGTACTCGCACTCTTGTGTTGCCCCCAATGTGCCACGTACGTTTTCACAATCTGTCGCAGCGCCGTCCTGGTCGCGCACATCACCCTGGCCCGCAACGGCCGGCTCCGTACGGCACCGATGCCAAATCATTACTCACCGGCCTTTTCCTCCGGACTACCAACAATTTTAGCTTTCAAAGGAAGGGCTTATTCACCCTCTTCGTCCTTCCCCCAATTGCCATGCACCTATCACCCTCTGCAGCAGCGCAATCCGGTTGAGCGGACAACACTCGTCCGTGGCGGCCGCCTCCGCACCGACCCCCCCGCCGAACAAACTGCCCAACCGCCCTCTTTTCTCTATACCGACCACTTTTGTGGTGCTTATTCACACCTATTTTAAACTCCTGCAGTTGCGACGTACCTATCCACACTCTGGAGCAGCGCAGTCCTGGTCGAGCGGATATCACACGCTCGCGGCGGAGCCTTCGCATTGCGCCCCTGCCAAATCATTTCGCCCACCCGCTTCAGTTGAGCTTGTTGAAACCTTTCTTTACTCCTGCAGTCGCGACGTACCTCTTCACACTCTGGAGCAGCGCAGTCCTGGTCGAGCGCATTACGGTGGCTCGCGGCGGCCGGCTCCGCACCGCGCCTCCGCCGAATCTCTCGCACGAGCAGCGTATCGAGATGGTGCGGTCGGTGGCGCAGACGGCGACCAAGCGGTTTGCCGCGCAGGGGAGCAAGGCGCTAGCCGGGCTGGCGATGGGGTCGAAAGAGAAGGACGTGAAGAAGGTGGGATTTCCACGACTCTCTGAGGGTTTGCGGAGAGAAACGCAAGGACTTTGTGGACTGCGCTCACCTCACATTCTCAGACCGTGCGGGTTGATTTGAGTTTCCATACCTATAGCAGACTCTCGGACTCCTTGCAATCTGTTGGATGGCAAAGTTTGAGCGTTCTGGCGGCTACTCAGACTTTCCGTGAACGGCCACATTGGGATTCGCACTTGATCCAGGGTCCATAAAAAGTCACTCCACGTAGAGCTAGTCGGTGCCTTTGCAGATGCCTCTGGATGGTAATCAAGTCGCATTTGGAGAAGTTTTGATGGTGAAATTACTCTTGACTCCGCAAGCCAGCCGCTCCTTAAGCGTTCCCTCTGTGTTGCATAGACCAAGTCACACCGCCTGCCTTACATGAAAGGGGTTGTAGCATTCACGAAGTCTCGTCCCATACATGCAGCCTTTCGTCGCACAACGTGAGCTGCTAATCCGAGAAGCCTTGGCATTGGTTTCCAAGCTCACTTCGCCGCCTGCTTCGCAGGCAACGCACATCACTCATCACGGGATAGTCATGCTGACATCACCTGACTTCAAATCTTTGATCTCGATCTCCAGGTCCCTTCAACCCTGACTGGTGCCAACCCTTCGTCGCTGGTACCCAACAAGCCGCCCCTTCCACAAATGCCCATGGAGACTTCTTATAACGCTTCCAAGTTCCTATATGGCAGGCAATCCCTCCCGCAGGCTGCCATGATTTGCGACAGGTTCTTGGACGACCCCGCCATCTGCATTCCCCATCACGAAACAATTCCTGAAGCTTCCTTAAGGAAAAAGATATGTCCCCATCAGTAAAGCTATCTGCTCACAGTGTTTCACTCGTGAGAAGTTTCCCGCAGGCGGCTATGATGGGCGCCCGATTTTTTTGTGACCTCGCGAGCCGCATCCAAGCCACATCCCTTCTTCAAGACTCGACTTCGAAACAATCCATTTTTCCAAGTATGTTCCAACACCCCAAGATATCCGCATCTAAACCAGATTTCCGTTTCCCTTTACAGGCGGCTATGATAGGCGCCCGGTTCTTGGACGACCTCGCGAGCCGCATCTCCAACCCGAAACGATTAGCGCCTCCGGTGCTTGCCCACGCACTGGCAGCGACAGTCCTGCTGGGCAGCGCCGCCGCTTTCGCTAGGACGAGGGGGAGCTTCGCGTTCATGGCGCCGGGGCTAATCCTCTTAACAAGCACAATCTACATGCAGTGCACCAGGTACGTGTTGGGTTCCGAGAGATTTTGAGCTTTCAGAGGAGTATACCCGACTCGACAGTATGCTCGTCATTTTGTCTGAAACTCTGCTTTTAATTGGCAATCAAGGGAGGAGTTGCCTTTATGGCGCCGGGACTCATCCTCTTCACGAGCATGCTCGACATGCAGTGCACCAGGTAACGGCATTTGAAGGTTTTTGGTTCTGAGAGATGGTAACTAGTTTTGGTTTGATCCTGTTGTCAACATTGGTGTGAGAGTGCCGTCGCGATTGGGGCCGAGGGAAGTTTCGCCTTCATGGCGCCAAGGCTTATCTTCCTGACGAGCACGATCTACATGCAGTGCACCAGGTAAAGGCTTTTGAGGGTTTTGGGGTTTTTAAGAGTTGAAAACCAAGTTCGTTTGATCCTGTTCTCAACGTTGGTGATTTGGAATGCCGTCGCTTTTGGGAGGACGAAGGGCAGCTTCGCATTCATGCCGCGATGTTTTTGACGAGCACGCTGAACACGCAGTGTACCAGGCAAGTGCGTCGAATAGAGTTCTGTTCTGAAAACTTATGGTTCTGAGAGAATCGTATCAGGATCTCAAGTAGATTCCTTTTGAGGAGGAACGATGGAAAGCTTCGCCTTCATTGCGTGGGGCTGAGATAGCTGGTAAGTGCACTTGACATACCGTGCACTGATGAGGAACCGGTTCTTAGGCTCTTCTGAAAGCTTGGCGCTCAGATTACCGGGGTTCGCTATGCACATGCGGTTTTGAGATACTCAGTACAAGCTAGGATCAGCTTCCTGGTTCACGGATGCCGTGTCGATCATACTAAGTTCTGTTCTGTTCTGCGAGGGATCATCCGCGAATGGTTGAGTTGGGTCTATTGGTAATTCTATCCTTCGTTAACGACCGAGAGTGTTCGATCAGACGACACGCTTGCTCCGTACTCGCTAAAAAGCTTCCCGTTGTCTTGAAAACCATCACCAAGAGCTCGTTTGAGAAGCGTTTACGACGTCCCCATCCATCGTCAACCCGTTCCACACCTTTCGATTGCAGATTGCCCAAGGGTATGAAAAAGGTCCTGAGCCCGACGGTCCTGTCCGGGCTTCTGCTGTCCGGCATCCTAGCCGTCTACGGTTCCGTTTGCCTCGGGGGCTGGTCCAACGGAATCACGCTGTACATGAAGGGCTCGGCTAAGCTGATCAGCATGCTCATCGGTCCAGCTGTCGCGGCTCTCGGTTTCAAGGTGAGCGCCGAAACACAGAACCCCTAACTCACCGCACTCTGTGGCCGGTCTCGGCTTTTAAACCTTAGCTGGAACCGCTTTTCAACCCGCAAGTTCTAAGAATTGTTGGTCTGACACCGCAGGCTTCATTGGTTCATTAATTTGATAATCTAGACTCCAGAGGAAATGGATAACAATGCTCTGAGTGACATCTCACGTCTGTGGACAGCGCAACTTTCGAGAGTCACAGATTGCAATGTCGATCAAACGGCGTATTTGAACGGAGCTCAACCGTCCCTTTTTCCGGTACCAACCTATTGAAAAGGCTGGGGCGTGTTAATGCCAGCGTGGAAGATAAACTGTAGGTTAACCACGGTTGCGAACCAGTCAAGAGTTGTCTAGGGGCCGCGATGGCGCTCTCAAGTTCCGAAAACGTTAGTACTTCTTGAGCGACATGAACGGGTATCGCTTCTGCAACATCATGTTGTGAACACGTTCCTTGGAACATTTAATCGTCAAGGCTACCGCCTCTCCTTACAGCCGTGAATCTTTGCAACTCTAAAGGATAAAGCCCCGACTACCTCCGCTTCTGGAATCTCAACCGGTGATTCGATTTTTCGCAGGTATACATCCAGCGTGCGATCCTAAAAAAGTCCGTGCTACAGCTAGCGGGCGTCTGCTTACTCATTACCCCCCTGTGAGTCTCCCCTCTCTTCTCTTTGCTTGAAACCTCAGCACCCGCCCATTGTTCGATGGGCCTTATTGCTCTTTGGCAACTTGCAATGTAATCAGGTTGAGAAACTCAGTAGGAAATGACCCGGAAGCTTTAATGAGCCGACTCGAGAAGTCCGCTGAACCGTTCTCTCGTTGCCGTCTTCAGGTCCCTCCTGTTCACCGCTAGCGCTACTCGACTGCTCGGGCTGTCGCCACATTTCGGCGTCCCCCTCCTCACCGAAACGGTGCGTCAAAGCTGTGCATGTCCGTTCCAAGCGCAATCAGACATCATAGTTCAGGCTTTCGGCTACTTTGCCCAACATGTGTTCCGAACAAGATGTTTTTTGACTTTTGCTCACCTTCTCCGGTGTGTTGTTCGTCGTTTTCGGGAGACCTCCGAGAATGCTTCACTAACAATCAAATTGGTTTCAGGAAGCGATCACCTGATAATTTACGATTCTTGACTCTTGTCGAGTTGTTTCGCACAAACAACTCTGGGCCTCGCTCTCGAGATGGCCGCTCCCCGCTGGCGTGTGGCAGTCCTCTAAAAACCCCTTCACCAACCTCTACATAGTCCCACAGACATTGAATCTGTCAACATTATGGTCTCCCAAACAAACTGCCGCTTTCTTTACTCTGACCCAGAGCTTCGACATACTTACGAACATTTCTTCACGAACACTGACTTCTGCAGACAACTCTGGGCCTCGCTCTCGAGATGGTCGGTCCCTCCGCGCTGGCAATCTATATTCTCCTTCAGAACCTGAACGACACTCATATGACTCTTACGACACTGACTTTCTTTGACCTCGTTTGCGCAGACAACTCTGGGGCTCGCTCTTGAGATGGCCGGCCCCACGGCGCTCGCATGCAGCATCCCCCTGGTAGTGGAGAACGTCACAGCATGCGGCACGGTCGGCCTCAACACCGCTCGGTCCATCCTTGACAGCTGGAAGGTGGGGAGCTCAACGGCCTTTAGATTGAAGGCGTGTGCACTGGTTTTGAGAGATCCCCTCACCAAGCTGCGGTTCTAGGAGTTTGGACGTTTGGTTCCGTTGTTGAACGCTTCTAGTTTGAACGTTTCTAGTTCCAGTGTTTTGAAGCCCGGTTCGAGGAAGATGTGAGAGGCTGCTCTAAAAGCAGGGTCTTGATTTGTGGACTGAATGGTGGTTCAATCAGTACCGTCGCTCGCCAAATCTCTCATCAGACCGCACAGTGGAATGCTAAGTGAAGATTGTAAGTGGCCGCCGGCAATCCTGGAGGAATTTATCCAGGTACGTTCTCGAATTTTTAGACCTGTCCCGTACTCCAACCCACGGCACTCATCAAACTTGTGTTCCCAATGATATCGGGCAGGGGGCCTTCCATGTTTTGGCACCCGAGAATCGACTTAAATTCCCAATCTGCACCTCAGTAGACCGCCTTTTGTGGTGGTGTTCTCGTGGACGTCTGTTCTTACTTTCGTTGACATTTGATGTTCCGCAGGCCCAGCCCCTAGGCTGCAACTTTTAGTGACCCTAGGAGCCCGTGTCTAGTCCTTCCGCTTATTGCCGACTTACCAGAAAGTCGTAATTGCCCCACAGGTTCGGGACCCTATCGCCCGCGGAGCTGCCGTAGCGGCGTCGTCTCACGTGCTCGGAACATCCTCCTTGGTGAGAATGCGCTTTCAATGCATTCCATGACGGGTTGCTGATTTCTCCGGTCCTTTGTTCCTTTCATGTCAGCTTCATCACTGATATTGGAGGACCGCAGTCCAGGGTTTTGCATCACGCAACAAGGACGTTTGGTGCAACACCTGCTATTGAAATGGCTTCATTGGAAGTCACTGGTTGCCAGAGTGTGAGCGAGCCTCGTTGGTGTATACAGCAACCATAAGAAGTCTAGTGCACGCCATAGCCACATATTCGCAAGCGTCTCATGACTTGGAACAAATATTAGTAATTTTGACTCCCGGAATGAGCTCGCGTAGAAACGTGCTGGATTCCTTGCACTGCTTGGTCGGGTTTCCAAGCGCCTTTGCATAGAGCTGCTACTCTCCGCTGCGCTTTTGCTTGGCGCAGCTCTTTTCCCCTGACGGTCTCCTAGCGGCAAGGTACAGCACCTCTTCCACAAGCGCGGACCGGCCTAACATGTACGTAAATGAAAGTAGACTGAAAACGGGACGACCCCCTCTTTTTACTCTCAGATGGGCGAGGAACCGGAAGCGGCTGCAGTGGCGGGTCTCACCGTGGCGATCAAGGGAGCTGTCACTGTGACACTCGTGTGTATACCGGCCTTCCGGAACATGCTTTTGAGAGTTGCTGGGGCGATGTAACTAAAGTGTTGAACGGAGGTGAACTTGCTTGTTGGGCGAAGGTGGCTAAGCATTCTTTGGGAGCACATTGCAATTGAAATCGGGAAACGAGTTGTCATATTGGTCGCATTGTTCCTCTGGATTGAACCGACATTAGAACTCATTGCCTAGTGTTTACTAGCTAGATGCAGTCGCTCTAGAGCCGTATACATGTAGTGACGTACACAGGACCAAAACGACTCGGAATAGACTTTGAGGAAAGAGGATCAGGCTGGCGGCAAAGACAACAAATCATCGAATTAGATTGCAGCGATGATTTGTACTATGTACTACGAACAACAAGGCGCGGCTTAGTAGGTCATGCAGGCCCAGAAACTCTTAAGGGTTGTTGCACAGGCTGGCGCACTAGCTGCATTGAAGCAATGCCCCCAATATAACGGTGCCGTTCAGCAGGCTAGTCTCAATGGATATTAACCGTCTGATATGCACACTAGCGCAAAACTTCTGTGGAAGATAGCAGATGTGCAATTGCACTCCGCTTATATAACGTAGCACTTAATACCACACCCTCATGATCCGGCCAGGCATCATGGCATGCGCGATCGAGAAGCGATCGATGGTCTCTCGTCGTTCTCGCGGTAGCCAAATAGGCCATAGCCTGTTATCTCATGGCATAATAGATTCATGTATGAGAACGTGTGTTATCAATCAATCGAGTCCGAATTAATCGCGAGTCCTAGCCTAGTAGCGCCTGAGTAGGCGGTATATGTGGTGCATATATATGGCCGGGCGATGCAGTCACTGAATTGCAGCCCGGCGCACAGGCTTGCGAATGGTACGTAATGCTAATATGGCGATTCAAACTTCATCGGCTAGCTGATAATGATATGCATGGCTGCGTGGGGCGCGGTGGCCGCCCCATTATACACAAAGTGTACGCGACTGCCGCCATTGCCGGCTGGCAGATCATAGCTAGATACATGTACCCGGTCCTTACGTTCGTTCATATACGTAGCATATGAATACCAATGGTCCGACGGATCGCTGATCACCGTCAAGATTCAATGAGCATGACTTGCATGAGCATGACATTTCGTGTTTGCCCTAATTGCTTGCGCCGCATTGAAGCGATGGAGGTGCATGGATGGCAACGATAGCTGGCGGCCGCGCTTGGACTAGCTAGCAGCTAGCTCATCAGGTTATATGTCATCACTACCTATCTATCTCATGCAGCTAGCGCGCACTTAGTTTTAAATATGCACAGTAAGGATTTGAATCTCGCGAGACTTCCGACTCAGTGGGCTGCGCAGTCTTGAAACGCAGGATCGAGTTCGTAGAAGCCAAAACTCTGCAGCCGGGCAGATGACCGTTTATTCCAGTATGACTAAGCAGCACAAGTGAAGTTTGTTGAAGACTCATCTGGATTGACGTCTTCGATTACGAACACCGGATGCCTAAACTGCTTAAATGATGCCGAAGGTAGCCTACTACTAGACCAACATGTTGAAGAGTCCTTCTATGCAAAGATGTTCATCTACCCGCCACGCTAGCTAACTCCGTTTTGACTGCAATCAACAGACATACAAAATTGCGACTCGAATTAGCTCCCTTATGCAACTCCTTTCAATGCTGCCAATGCAAATGCGCACTGACTTTGTACACCCAACCCATGCAACGATAGTCTAGACACTTCCGAATCTTGTAACTTTCGCCCCTACTTTTGCAAAACCACAGTTAGACTTTTTCGCCCTCGTCCGTCTGCGCATCCATTGCCTGGCGCAAACTATCCCGATTCTGATTGGAAAGATCAGTCTGATGAGTTTTCTCTCCGTTCGGCCCCGGATGATTTTCTCCCTTGGATGAAGAACCCGCCACACCCCGATGAGTCCACCTGAGACCACCTGTCTGGGTCTTCAAGTTGTAACAGTCCGAAAGAAAGAGGAAGAGGAACGCCCAAAAGGAGAGGAGGATTGACCACAGTACGTACCACACCTGCGTGAGAGAGCGACAGAGAGACAAGCAGAGTTTGAGCTGCGCAGTCTTGGATCTTTGCGAGGAACATTGAGTGGTGGTTCAAAGAAGGGTAATCGGTGCGTCGAAGGAACAAGGGGCTGGTCTTCTTTAACCAAAGGACGCTCCTGCGAAAATATCCGAGTTACGTGCAAAGCCCACTTGGGGCTTCAGGCAGTCAAGAGGTAACGTAAAATTGATCTGGACTCTGCTTCCTTCAACAAAACCTTTCGGTTTTGCTTTGCGTAATCAGTGACCAGAACAGAGCCCTCAGTTAGACTTCCCCTTGGAAATCAGTGTACTCTACTAGACCACCGACACTAAAACAGCTAATCGCTGGCGCCGCTTTGGCAAACCACAATGAAATTAATTGGAACCACAAGCATGCCTCAAATTGCCGAAGAATCTCTCACTTCAACGGAAACCCCTTCAAAAGCAGCAAAAACGGGTTTCGTCCGCAAACCCACCCGAAGGTTACCGCCAAACCGGAGGCGGTACCGGTCCAGGCCCCAGTAGATGTTGATCCAGCCGAGGAGGATCGCCGTGGTTCCGATCAGCCAGTGGAGCAAGAACCACGGCGCGCGGAAGAGGGTGCCCTTGTGCGGGCGGATCAGGCCTAGAACCGGCTGCAAAGATTTGGGCACAGTGCCGGCAGCGAAGCAGCTTTATTCGTCATTGCTGACATCAGCAGATGACGGACATTTTCGTTACAGCGGAACAGGATCCAGCGGGCGCGGAGGAGAGCGCCCTCGTACGGGCGGGTCAGGCCCATCCGCACCAGCCGCACATGAGGATTCCGTGACGTCAGCATGCGAGATATAGAGCTCGCTGATGACGTCAATGAAGGAAGACGGTTCAACGAGCCTCAAGGCATGTCGAAACGGAGGACGCGTAAGTCTTGTCGGGGCGCAGCAGGATCAGTATGGAGTGAGACGCATTTCGCATCGGGATGCAGCAGAAATGGGATCTGATGTCAGCAAATGGGGAGGCTTCGAGCTGTTAGTCGAAATGGAACAGCTGGGCCCCGTGTAAAGGACTTCTGCGGGGGACGGAACAAACCCGCAATAAACAGATGACGTGTAACGCGAGGACATTGGTGAGTTGAAGCAGATGCGATGACGTGAGCGGAAAGACGGGAGAAGACCACGGCGCGGGAAAGGATCACGGGCGGATCAAACTGCATCGGCGCGGTTTCGGGACGTTGACGTCAGAAGACCCAGCACGATGACTTCAGCAAGAGATGCGGCCGACCGCTGTAGCTAGCAGAGCTGAGATGAGGGGTCGCGAAGGAGGACGATGTTTCAAATTGGAGGATCAGCAGAAGCACCGCATAATCGAGAAACAAAATAGAGCCAGTAATTAAAGCGCTTTAGTAAGGAAACGTATGGGTCAGCGTCTGCTCACCTGGATCCAGATGAGAACTAGAACGGCGAGTCCGATCTGCGAGTGCAGCAGGCACCCGACCTTGAACTTTGCCAGAGAGATAGCCCCCCCCGCCGTCGCCAGACACACTGCAGTTCATCGTAAAAAGCGTGCTGTGAATTATGGGCGCCCACAATCTGCTACGAAACTGACTTTCTGATCTGATAATTAGATCTGCATGACGAACCCGTACCGTTTTCCCCAAAAGGGCAATCTACCCTTACCGAGACGTATGAAAGAGCATCGCTCGTGTTTACTTGCCACCGCGCAAAATGGTTCCCGGACGTGAAGAGTTTTCCCAAACCGGACGCATCAGTCAGATACGGCAGAGCAAGGAGGAATGCGAACCTGCCAAAATCTAGATGGCCAGAAGTCCGTAGAACCAGTAAGAGTCCCATCTTTTGCCGTAGCGCGCGATCAGAACCCCGAGCGGGAAAAGGACGCCAAAGGCGACCCACATCATCCAGGAGTGGGCGTCGTAGTAACTCTTTGGGGGACCGGTGGTCGCCGCGACGGGGGGCCCCGATTAGCGGCTCCCGAAGTTGATCGAAAGAGTGCCCCTGCAACAATAAGGACGAGTTCTTTTTTAAAAGATAGGGCTTTAATGCCTTTTAGCAAGGCCACGGACTTGGTGAATAAAAGGAAGAAGAATAGTGTCTGAAAAGTGCTGGAAATCATCTCCCAATTTTCCACAACATAGTAAAAAAACGGGTGGCTGAATATTAGTATTAAAATTATCATTAACATATGCGGCTCCGGAAGTCGATGGAAAAAGTGCCCCTGCAAGCAAAAGGGAGGGGTCCTGCGTTGAAACACAAGGCCTAGATATTTTACCATACACAGGTAAAAGAACAGGTGAGAAGGAACGGTTTGTGAGAAGTACTGGGAAAGTGTCTCCCTTTCTAGAGACTCTAGGGTAGAGGCACGGGTGGTTACATTTTCTGATGAAGGTGATTATGCAGGATTGTGCGAGGCGGTCCCGAAAAGTGAGTCTGTTCAGCGTGCCGGAAAGTCCATTGGTAGGAATAGGTGCGCAGCTCAACTTGAACAGATTATCCCGGCAAGTGGCGAGGCGCGAAAATTTGGCCTCGGAGATTGCTCTATATCCGTGCAGCATCGAACGAAAGAGTTGGCCATGTGACGAGCTTGCAAACAACTGACAATCTGGTCGAACGCGGCAAACAGTACGTAACTTTTTGTGAAAATCGTTTCAAAACGGAAACGTGTCTCTCACTTGTTGGGTCCATGATTGGCTGCGCCGGGGAACGGCGCTGTGCGGTCCGCCGACGTCGCCCAGATGATGAATGTGCTTCCGCCGGAATTGATGGGGACTCTGCCGGGGACTGTCAGGTTCCGCGTGAATCTGCGGAAGATTCGAGCGGGACGGAACAGAACGGATCAGAAGGTGGTACGAGGATGATTTCTTCGATGCTCGCGACTGCTGTGATTGGTTCAGTGGACGACCAAAAGCTTGTTTCTGCAAACCACAGACATGGGGAGTTACTAACGTTAGGAAGTTCCTAGAGAAGATGGAGAAGCCCAAGGGTTCAAGGAAATACGTACAAAGGCTTGGTTCTGATTCCTGGTGCGGGCTGCTCAAAAAGCTTCTTTATACCATATAGTTTTCTGGGACCTCCAACTCGGTGAGAAAGCAGGATATATATTGTACGATGCGAGTCTTGAAAATATGTCCGAGATCAATAATATACTTCACTACGCATACCTTGAAACGCTTGGGGAAAGCTTTCTTTCCCTCCGTTTCCTCGCTTTCTTCATTATGCGAAAGCAGTTACTTCCTTTGACGGCGTAAGCATCGACGAAGTCGGCTCAGAACCAAACAGCTTGTCAGCCTCACCTCATTGTCACCGTTCCGTTTCCGTTACTCACGAAACCGTCCCGGAAGCTCGCGGCGGCCGGAACAACGGAACTGGCCGCGTGTCCTTTCAGCAGATAAGACTGGAGCGGCGCTCCAGGAGCAGCGACAACCGCATCGGAACCTACCATCTTTCCAGAGGGCGACACGGCCAGAGCGATCCAGCCATGAGTGGTCGCCGCAACGAAAAACGAAACCGAAGGGGGGCGGAACGCGTAGTGGAACATGAACCTGGCACGAGAAAGAGCGGTACCACTTTTTATTGATCGGGTTTGAAAAGAGGTCTCTGGAAGGTGAAAGTCACACTCCGAGTAATCTCGTCCCGATGCTGAGCACATGATCAAAATTTGCTCATCATTTGACAGTGTGCGAAGAAGCATGAATCCAAGAGACAAGTACGCTTCTTCCCATGTTCGAATGGCTGGATTTTAGCAGATCAGACCACACTTCATTAGTTTAACGGACAGACTTCGATTGCCACTGCTGTTTACATGCAGATGAAGCGTCTCGGGCCAGTATGGTTCAAATGAAAACTTTCACAATACCCGGATCTCCCTGGAAGCCGTTAATATTCTAGCGGGAAACTACAAACAAAGCTGATGTTTTAGTATGTTCGAGCCGGAAGCCCTGCTTAGAACGAAATAACTAACTGAAACGTCCGCTTTTTCTTAGAAAAGCTCTTTGGAATCTAGTTAGTAGAACAAGAGGGATGTTTTGAGACTCCCGAGCACACTCGGTTCACTTACCCGAGCGATGCGTCTGCTACGACTTGGCAGTCAAAGCCCGGCAGCGTCGATTTTGTGCACACCTTGGGGGGATCCCCCTCGCGGCGACGGCGCGGGAGCCCTCAATAGCCGCCTCCGTACTTCCGGTGTGCTGGCCAACCGGCGGCTGCCAGCTGGCACGAGGGGGCTGCCGCCGGCGGCCGGGACGGAATCCGTTACCGAGGTTTCGTCGGAGGTGGCTTGAGCGGAAGGAGCGGCGCTCAAATCAACCGGAATATGGCCACTGTACACAAGATTTGAGGATTAGGTTTAGCAATCAATGAAGAGACTTCACTAGTTGGCCTTATGATTAGGAATTCAGTGACTCATCTAGGCACTGTCACTGTTACGAGCATAGTAATGTTTCCGGCAGGGATGGCAAAAAAACGTAGGTTTGGGCTGGCCTCGTTGGTCCATTTGCGAGACGAGTTTTTTCCTGACAGTACCGCGACTTGATAACGCAACGCCTGAAACTACCCTTTCTCCTAGCTCTAGTTTCTGTACTCACGAGCAAAGGAAATCAGCTGCTGAGTGCCGTAGGTCGGCTAACTTGGTTTCATGAGCCGAAGTTTATCCCGTGTGCTTCTTGCAAAACGGAGGCCGTAATCTGTTGATCTCGACGCAAGCCCTTTTACGGTCCTAAGTCAACTTGAGCTCAAATATAAAGGGCCTATCTAACGTAGATTTTGTTCGTAAGCTACGCGACTCTCGATTGGCAATCGCAACCTCAATCCTTAGCGTCTTGAGCATCTTGAATGGAAAGGAGATCCAAAGGGTTTGCTTTCTCACAAGTTCTTTCTGTGGAATGACGGCCAAGTAGACCCGTTTGGCCCGAACGCCCATATGATGTTGTTGATTCCGTTCAGCTGCACCGGAACGCTCCCGCCGTCCGGAATAAACCTCTGAAAACTGCCTTAAAAGCGACAGATGACAGACTCAGAACTACGTCAGGCAAAAACCCTCGGATCTAGTTTTAGAGAGAACACGTAGAGGCGTCAGGATTTTCCGACGTCCAGTTCACCGTAGCTTCTGTAAGGTCTACGCAAGATTGTAGAAAAAAAACTCGAGCTGTTTTCTTGGAGGCGTAACTCAACAGGAGGGCGGAATTATAATGCCTGCGCAGGCTGGCCGTAAAAGCATTTCTGAGGTGGACGGTCACCTCTTGTTGAATCACAGCGCAAAATTTTACAAACTCGGAGATCATCAAATTTTAACCTCGTGAGCGGCTCCGTTTGCATTCAAAGTGTTTCCAGGACTTATTGGGCAGTAGGAAATATAGCGTGAATACGTGGTCCGAGACTTCTGACGAACTCTGCTAAAGTGCAACAACCGTACGCGCATGTGTTACGACAAACATCTAAAAATGTATATGAAAAGACACCTCGGAAAAAGCAAATCGATGCATGGATCCAAGTCATCACGTGCACACCTGAGTAGCAGTTTCCCATTAGAAGCAGTAGCGAGGGACGCGTTCTCGATCTTCAAGCTATTGATTGCTTGGACCGACGCCGCCGGCTGCTTTACGTTCTTCGCGACCAGCTTGTAAGACTGCACGGGGGGATCCCCCGAAGGAACCTTCGCGATGCCCACTACTGCTTCGCTGCCGACCTGTATGAGAAGCGCAGACGTCTGAGATTGGTGATTCCGCTGTTCCATTGTTCCGGATCTTCCCACGCGAACCGGTCAGTCTGCTGCTGATTGCATGATACCAGCTCGAATGATACCTGTACATCGGAGAAGGTTACCTTTGCAATCTTGTTCAGCTGCAGCCTCCTGTTCCTTTCCACTCTGCTTCATTCGCACAGTGCACGTACAAGAAGCTACAGTAACTTTAGATTGGTTCCGCTGTTCCGCGCAACGGAACGAAGTTACCGCTTACCATGCTTCCGTTGCGGGAGAAGGCCACGCCCATCCAGCTGTCCGTCGGCGCCTCCCCCGCGAGCGCGACCGTATTCACATCCACCAGAGTCCAGTGCAAGACGAACCTACAAAAGGGTCGAGATCATCGGTAAGTAGCCTTTTCAAATGCTTTGGAGTATAGAGGGTCTTGAATCAGTGTCTGGGCATCAGGTGGGAAAGCTGTCTGAAAGCGTATCTGTCTGATACCCGCACAGGTCAGCAGGGTGAAAGGGTTGCAGCGTGCTAGCGAGGACAAAGAACATGTAACTTCGAAGGAGAGTCACTGTAATTAGAGACTAGACAAAGGGGGAAGAGTCGGCCGGAAAGAAGGTATCTGAGATCCCAGTGACTCGGAGTTCAATGCGCCTTTCAAAATATCCCCAGAAACCTATTCCCAATCCTTTGCTGAAGCCAGCTAACAACCTTTTCACCATCTGCACGTTTCAAATCAAAGAGACTGCTCTGCGACGAGATCAGGAGATATTCTAGACCGTAAAACACTGTTAAGGCTTCTTCATCAATATCTCTCTGTTTTGGATCACCAGACACGAAACCAGAATATGTGTGGAATTGTGGTCTCACCCGGTTGGAGCCCCGGTGTCTTCGTCCGTTCCGTCCGCCGCGCAGCTGTACCCCGGCAAGGGCGACGAGTCGCAGCTGCTCTGAGCGGATGCCCGACCAATCACGAGCAGCAACAAAGCAGCCGTGATGAGGGGAACTTCCATCCTAACAATGTGGGTTTCTTCCTTCTTTTTCTGCATTCGAAGCAAGCTTTCCGCATCCATGCTGTCAGTGAGGGAGGCGGTCTAGAGAGCGCAATGAAACTGAACTGATTCTGGCCTAGTCGAACTTGTTACAGCTGTCGCTCCGCGCGTTGGCAAACAAACTCCTCAAAGGGCTTTCGCCCTTGCTGAAAACAAGGAGAAATCCGAAGTAATATCATTGATAGCCCTGTTCTGCAGACTGACGCTTCTCTTCGACGTGGCCACATTCTTAGAAGGGAAGGTACTGTGCGTTCGAGGATACACGGCGCTAACTTTGTGTTTCTAAGCGAGCTGGGAACTTTGTCAAGCACTGCAAACGCCCCAGAGCTTAGAGGCTTGCACGTAACTTTAGGTGATTGGTACGCGCACTGAAATAAAGGCCATCAAAGGATCGCTCTTGACTCCACGGCATAAAATCCCTTCCGAGGGGCCTTGGACAGAACAGCGCACGCGCGTATGCGGCTTGCTGCAACACGTGGCTTTCTGTCTAATTTCGCAACAAGCAAAGACACGCATGGTGCTTCTCACTGATGCACATGCCCAAAGTAAGCCCTTTCTGTCCGGGCATTGATTCCACACGTATGGAAGATGTCAGCCAAGGGATGCAAAGCTGACACCTGGTAAGCTGCCGACTTTAGGGCAGACATATGATCTTGTAAAGAACAAGTAAACGCTCATGCAAGACTGACCAACGTTGACGGTACGGATCGCTTCGATCAATGACTGACAACGCAGGTACGTCTCCGATCAATCTGAGCGCATGCATGCGTACGACCCGTCGTACAATCTTGCTTCGTCAACATTATGAACGAGATGAAGCTAAGCAGAGCAGCGGGAGTTGCAAACCAGATAGATGGTGATCTCGATCCACCGAGACATCTACCGTAGCTTGACGGTTCGAGCGCCGGGCCTTTCTCTGATCTGTTTTCTTGGCGCGGGATGGAACGCGCGCGGGGCTGAAACGGTGATTCCGCCGGTCAAATGTCAATCTGGGCCTTTGGATCACCTTGGTCTAGCTTCGACCTTCAAGCACAAATTGCTTTTTTGCACTTGCTCGAGAACCAATTTCCTTCATGATATCAGCTACGTTTTATTATTTGCCATTTATCGACAGCGGATCGAGGACGCTCGCCATATCGAGGCATAGTGGAAGGGCCCGTTCAATTCGTTCTTTCTTCCCGCGTTGCGATTGGGATGTGATTTTGCATCCAGACATCCTCGGCGCTTAGAAGCGTCGAAAAGCAGGTTCAGATCGCGGGACTTGTTCTAGTATGCTTTAGAGGTCACTTCGCTTCTCAGCGTTCAAAGAGGACGTATGACATGCAAACATTGAGCTGCAATGTGGTGACGCTTCCCGAGACGTTCGCCTATTGGGTTAAGCTGACTCTTCAGTCTGCGTGCATGTCCTGCACTTACGTACATCGCACTTCTTGTTTGCGGCACAGATCGAGACCCATTTGTGTTTTAAACATGCCACGAAGCATGGATCCTGTAAGCAAGATTTTATCGGGCGCAATTCTCTCATCTATGTGATATATCTCCAGACGGGTCTGTCACACTCCACGAATCATGATTCAGAACTTACCTACGACCTGCTATCTGAGGAATCTCAAAATCTTGGTTGAATGGACACATATAGAGACTCTGGAAGGCTTGTTACGCTTATACCCAGAGCACATGGCCACCTCGCAATCTGCGCGCGAGCATCTACGGTACCTCAAAAGCCGCGCGCGCGCACTCATGGGCCGGCGCGCACCCCTCTACTCGACCTCGAACGACAAGACGAAGCCTCGTCGTTCGCCGGCGCAGGAGCCTCCGTAGTGGATTGGGCGGAGTCCGTGGCATTTCGATCCTCTTTTGGAATTGGGCGACACAACTGGGCTTTGAACTCGGGCCAAGTCGCCAGGAAGAGGTAGAGGAAGGCCCAGAAAGAGAGGATGATTGCCCACAGAACGTACCACACCTGGGAAGAAACACGGCACGGGGCTCAATGTCTGTGAGATATTGTTGAACCTCCTGCTTCGAATCTCAGAATAACAAGAGCACTCAAATCGTTGACGAGCAAAAAACGCTGAGCAGTACAGAAGGGAAGTCTTGCAGCCGTATATTCCAATGCGAAAGTGGGTTTGCCAGTATTTGCTTCTCTTTCCTTCTCGCTAACAGTGTGAGAACGTCCGCACTGATTGAGCGGATTTTTCTAGTTGTGAGTAAGAGCACTATCCTGGAGGGTTACGAGCGCAAAGATCTGAACATAACGGCGTAGCTTTCTTGATCCCACAGCTACCCGTTCAACTCAAGAGGGCAGCTGAAGCGCATAAGCCAGGATGCGCGGTGCCAGCTCAGAAAGCGACCTTACGTACACGAGTCCGATGGTGGTACTCGAAGGAGGACCCAGGCAGCGAAATCTGGGGCGAAGTGCCAAATAAGCTGGGGCGTCGTCGCTTATACAAATTCTGTGATTCGAGTGTAGACAATCACCTACCTAGCGAGAAACTATTTCCAAAGATAGAGTGGAAGAGGCCTAGCCCAGAAAGGAGTCTGACGAGACCCTTTTTAACATGCGCCACCGACATGGTAAAAGAGTTTGTGTCGAACTAGAGATGGAGCGAAAACCCTGGAGACGCACCCGCAGGGTGTTACCAAAGCGGAAGCGGTACCGGTCGAGGCCCCAAAAGATATTGATCCACGCGAGAACGACTGCAGTCGTTCCCAGCAGCCAGTGGAGGAAGAACCAGGGGAGGCGGAGGAGGGTGCCCTTGTGAGGGCGCAGTAGGCCCAGCACCGGCTGCAAGGTGTCACGACGTCAGCAAATATATCAGCGATGCGTCAGAAAATGAATAACGTCAGCGAAGAAGCAAGTGTCAAGAAGCAATTGTAGGGAGAATCAGGGGAGGCGAAGGAGGTTGCCCTTGTGAGGGCGCACCAGCAGGCCCAGTACCGGCTGCAGAAAGCTCCAGTGTTAGTGACGTCAGAGACCCTAGGTGTGACGTTAGCAAAGGAGAGATTGTGTCAAGCAGGCAATGAAGAAAGAGGCAGGGCCGGCGAAGGAGGTTGCCGTTGTCAGGCCTAGTGCCGGCTGCAAAGTGCGCGCGTTTTGACGTCATCGATCAGGTCAACGGTGACGTCAGCAAAAATGAAAGTAGCAAACAGCAAGTCACGAAGAATCAGGGCACGCAGAGCTCGATAGGAGCTTCTCTGAGGGGCGCAGCAAATCAGTTGTTGACGGCAAAGTGCACGGGTCTCAGTGACTATGAACCACCTCGTTAGTAACGTCATCATGATTAAGGAAGTGTGTCAGAAAGTCAACATATGACGAAGAAGCAGGCCAGGCGAACGAGCGGATTCGCGTCTGCGTACCTGAATCCAGATCAGTATCAAGACGGAGAGCCCCACGTTCTTGTGCAGCAGGGGTCCGGATTTAAACCTCGCGAGCGCGATGCCGCCCGCGGCCGTCGCGACGCACACTGCAGTTCCGGAGACGCAGCTTTATAAGTCATCCACTTTCAGAAGCGAGAAGAGCACAGCAGTAAGGAGACCGAAACGCAGGACAATTGCGTGCTTTTCTAAGAGATACCCAGCAATCATCAACAGGTTGTCTTTGCACCGCAGGAAAGGGACAGTGGACTCCTACGCAACAGCTTTGATCGGTAGGAGGGCCACGGAATGTATGGAACTAGTGAAAGCTGATACTGAGAGGGTGGTCAGCCCTCTTTCTGATCCACGCTCGTTCATGCTACCCAATCATGAACGACTGCATTGGACACAGGCAAAATTCTAGAAAACACCCCTCCCAGGAGTCTTGAGATTCTAGAAAGAAACTGATTCAGGTCGGAAGACTGCCTTACCTGCCAAGATCTGGATTCCCACGTGCGCCCAAAACCAGTAGGGGTCCCACCTCTTGCCGTAACGCGCGGTCATTATCCCGAGCGGAAAGAGGACTCCGAAGGCGACCCACATCATCCAGCCGTGGGCTTTGTAGTAGGTCCTCGGCGGAAGACTGGACGCCGAAATGGGCGGTCCAGATACCCCGCTCGCGAAATCGATGGATACAGCACCCCTGAAGAGTGCAGCTTGAATTCGACATTGTCCGTCGAAGGATAGGAGTAGACGAGAGCGTCTAAAACGTCATCAAACAACAGGCATCCATCCTTTCAAAAGTCATCTCTTTGTATGACTCAAAGTCATTCTACGCAGTCCGCAGTCACTTTCAAAGTCCGTCAAGGTGCTGAGAAATAGGCAAAACAGAGGGAGATCACAGTCCGACATCTTGTCACCACAACAAATCCAATACGGGTAGGAAGTTCCGTAAACATAAAAATGCCCTAGACTTCACCTTGCAGTTTTAGCAACCGATAGACGGATGGCAAACTTGCGCTCAGGGCTTAGAGAATCTAGAGACGCGTTATTTTCTTACAAGAACAACTGATATCATTGGTTTCTGATCTCTATTAACATGAATAAAACTTTTCTTCTTAAAAACAGAAGTCAGGAACTGAGTCGACCTGCACTCACTTGTCGTTGCCGTGATATTCTGGCCCCGGAAAGTTGGGCGTTCGCGCCGCAGAAGTCGACCAGACAATGAAGGTGCCTCCGATGGTGTTAATGGGGACTCTGCCCGGCCCCGTCAGGTCCCGCGTGAACCTGCGAGCGGAACGGAACAGCCGATTGCGGAATGAAAGGATGGAACGAATCTGTGTGAGAACCTGAACTATGCTCTCAACCGCTTCGAATGGATTCGAAGATTGATTATCTGCTCCATTCCAACATGCTAGATCGAGGCTGTATGATGAGTTCTGGTCCGTTCCGGCCGGTTCCGTCAGGTTCGAGTTCCGTTGCTCTTACCGTCGGACTCTCATGCGCCTTCTCCAGACTGAGGTTGCGAAGCCTAAGTTGCCTCGACCTCTGAAATATCCGAATCAAGCAGACGATGTGAACAAAGATGCACGTACGTCATCGAAATCATTCCGTTCGCAGAGTCGATGCTCCCGTTCCGGAACCCCGGAGCGACCGGATTAACCCCGCTGGGGTCGTGCGCAGTGAGCATGTAAGACCGGAGCTGCCCCCCCGGAATAGCGACAACCGCATCGGTGCCAATCATGCCCCCGGTTGGAGAAACGCCGATTGCGATCCAGCCGGGAGTGGGCACTTGAGCGAGAAAGGAAACGGAGGGAGGACGGTACGCGTGGTGGAAAGTGTACCTGTGAGAAGATAAGGGAGCGGATGTGCTTTTGGCATCATCAAAACGAGTATGAGGATTTTGTGAGGCGACTTTTGTTAGTGCAGGAAGCGCTTTCAGTCGCTGCCTCGTGACGAAAAGAGGGGATCGGTGCAAGGAACTACGAAGAAACCCAATGCAAAAGCTCGTCTTGCGTGCTCTATCTGGCGTGGCAGGCCATGTGCAGCAGGGTGAAACATGTAGAGGACACTGGAATACTTTGCGAAAGACCCCCTTTATCCGGGTTGGAAATGGGCTAGTGGGCTTCGCGCTTTGACGCGAAACAGCCGCAGAAACGAGGCCGCTTAAATTTAACCACGACTTCGTTGCATAATCCATCAAATACTTCGACGACTTCAAAGTCCAATGTTCACTCACCCAAGCGAAGCACTAGCCACAACTTGGCAGTCAACCCCGGCTGGGTGGATGGCACACATCCCGCGGGGGATCTCCCGGGAGCTGGCGCAGGGGTGCCTGGCAGTACACCGCCAACAGGGGGGCCAGCCAGCGGCGGGCTGCCAGCTGGCACCACCAGATTCGCGCCGGGGCCGGCTGCCGTTGCTGGTGAAGGGGATCCCTCCGTGGGTGCGATTTGGTTCGTGGGCGTTGCGCTGAAGTCGACGGCGATGGCTCCCCTGTTGGAAGACGGTCTTTTCAAAGATGCCCGGTTTCCTTACTTTTCGGGCGCTTTCTTTAGCAGGACTCACACGGAGACATTGCTTTGAGAGTTATGAGTGTCGTGAACGTTCAAAAGATAGTGAGAAAGCTTCGGCATCTTCCCTCGAAGTCATGCTTGCGAGGGCGTAACAAATCTGCATGATAAAAGCTTGAGATTGGCAGATCGTGAAAGCGAGACCTACAATGTTCAGCTGTTAGGTTCTAGTTCTACATCAAGAGCGATTCAGGTCTGCTTCGCTCACCTGTTTTGCAGGTGGTATGTTGGAAACGTTGACCCTGCAGGCCCGTAGGACCACACCATCTGTTGGATTCCGTTCAGCTGCACCGGAACGTTTCCGCCGTCCGGGAAGGACCTCTGGAACCTGCGGAAAACGTAACTTGTATAAGTAATCGAAGGACATACAGAGGTTGTAGTGGGTCGGAAGAGCGCTCACTATTACACGTTGAGTTTGTCGGAGATTTGGGAACTGTTGCTCCTGTGGCGACCAGATTGAAAGCTCTCAACCTGAAAGGAAACCTTTTGGATCCGAATCACGTATCAGACAGAAAGACGAAGCGTATGGCTGCAAAACTGTTCATGGCAGGGTGAGAAAAGGGGAAATTGCGAGGACGCTCGAACAGAAGATCTTTTATCAATAGCATCCAGCCTGGCGCTGTACCTGAGAAGGATCCTCCCAGAAGTAGGCGTTTCGACGGTCGCGTTTTGGATGTTCAGGTTCCCATTCACTTGGACCGACATCGCTGGTTGCACGGGGTTCTGGGCGATCAGGCTGTAGGCTTGAACCGCGGGAGTGCCCGGAGAAGGGGCTGACTTGCCCACAACTGCCTCACTCCCGACCTGCCGCAACACACCAGAAGAAAAGCATGATGTCCAGAATCTGGGCTTTTCTGGTTTGGTTTGTCGTGAATGAGTAAGATGTCCGTCAAAGGTTTGGGGAAGCGAGTGTGTTTGCAGATTTCGGCTACAAGAAGTTTTCTTTCTTCTATCCTTCTGTTTTGATAGACTTTAAGAAGAAGGATGTTCCCCAACCATTCTTACCAAGTGATACTTGGGACATTGTTAACAATAATTCTACTATCCGCGCCTCCAGCAGCTGTGTCCACTCTTTGAGGAGCTTTGTGAGTGAAGCAGCCTTTTATCTGAGCGGTTTGACAACTCGACTGTATAAAAGGCCGCTCAGAATTCAGTGCCCTGGTTTTCGAGAAGTCACAGCTTTGTAAAAACCTTTTGACTGCTATTAATTCAAGCGATTGACTTCGCAAAATCTCATTTGGGAAAGTTCTCGCACCATCATCCCGTTTCTCGAGAAGCCGACAGCCACCCAGCTGCCCGTCGGCGCCTCAGCCGCGAGCGCGAGCGCGCCGCCGCTCGCGACCGTCGTCCAGTGCAAGGTGTACCTGAAACGGAACCGGAACGGAACTGATGCGCCGTCGATCCATGTAAGACATCGCTTCCTCTTTCAGAGACTATCTGTTGAGCTTTGAGACCACGAAGCCTTTCAAGGAGCCAAATTTGAGAGCATCAGATCAGGCGACGTCAATCAAGATCTCGAAAACCATCAGTCAAACGGTATGGGCCTAGGATGACCAAGTCGCGATATTAAGGTTGTGTTGAGTTTCCATCAGATGCCTATGATGACGTGGATTTCTACAGGAGCTGAGAACTGAAGCCGCTGGAAGTATCTTTCCGTACCTGCAGTGTTGCCTAATTGCGAAATCTCAAATGAACCGTCCACCTTACACTGAGTCGCCTGTACCCAACTGCTATAAGATGCTGCGCTTTGCAGGGATCTGAGGCTCTCATGCGCGATCAGCTAAACCAACTGCGTCTTACCCTGCTTGTCAACGTTGTCGGACCGAATCACCGCTGAAGGGCAGGCAAAATCATTTTTGAGCAATTGAAAGTCGACTTCGCTCAGAAAGCTTACCCGCTCGGTGACCCGAGGGCGTCCGTTCCGTTCGCTGCGCAAGTGTATCCTGGCAGGGGCGACGGAATGCAGCTGGTTTGGGCGGAAAGTTGACCGATGCTCGTTGTGCTGAGCACGAAGATAACAAGAGGGCGAGCCCTCCAGAGCCTTGGATGCTCGAAGCAAACGAACCAATGCAAAGGCATACTTTTGGTTTGGGGAGATTGTCTGCTTCTTTCGGGTAAATGCAGGACGGGATCCAGGTACTTCACTTCTGCGGGAGACTTGGGTTTTTTCTCTCTTCCTCAACACCACGAAGTGCTAAGCATGAAAAAAGATGGCAGAAGATGAGAATGTGAGATCGCGATGCTTTAGCGCGCGGTTCCAACTGGAAACAAAGCGGCACCCTTCGAGCTTTTGATTCACTCCTCGAGACATAACATCGTCTGTAAGTCCTTTCATTCCAAAAAATCGCCTGGTCTTTGTGCTCCCTTTCGCGCATCAAGCAAATTTCACTCTGGCTCAAAAGGCGTCGGTCGTCTACGAAAGCGCTCTGACTCTATCGCATCCGAACGTCTGCGTCGCCCCGTTGTTTCAAACCTGGAGGAGGGGCGCGGCTGTAGAGGCATGCTCGAAGTGAGGACCATCGATATGCTTCAAGGACCTTTTCCATGGATCTGGTTTCCTGCACGCCAAATCTGTTCACGAGAGAGTTGCAGCTTCCCATGCAGCTTCGTTGCCGTACCCGTACGGATGTCGACAACCAGTTCTTCACTTGAAGCAGAATATACAGCCCCCATTGCCAGCCTTTCCCGGGTAAGCTAAGTACCTCGACTTACTACTGACATGATCATGACCCCAGGAGTCGAGGGTGATGGCTGTCGCGTCAACGTCAGGCACTGTCGACTGCACCTTGTTGACCATGACAGAATCCTGGAAAAGCGAAGGAACCGGGGAAACTTTCTCCAATGATGCATGTCGAGCACGCTGACGATGCAAAGCAGGTTGAGAGCATCCAGCATCTGCCAAAGAAAAGAAAGCCGCGCGCACGGTCGCGCACGGCCACGGCGACAACGTCGGATGATGCATGATGCCAACCATCCGGTGACGGCCAGCGATATGCGCGGCTGCCGCCGCGCGCGAGTCCTCAGGTGACCTGCTGATCAGTGGGCCGGCCGCGACAGGGCCGCCGCGACTCACCTTGCCCCCGCATCCCGCTGGCGTTGAACGGCGATCAATTCCAGAACCACCGCCTACTATAGTAGTTTCACATACCAGCGATATTTTAGCACAGACTTCAAGCATATTAGCTGCCAGCGCTATTTTGGCACGTCAAAGCATCGTTATTGCCGCGATCAATATAGCCAGGCTGAAAGTGGAGTCATCCACGGCGATCACTCTCAGTGGCTTGCTGATGGCTGAGGATCTCATGCTGATTGTTCTCGTCATACTAACACCGAGAATGAAAGACGCTTATGCACAATGTTGCCAACGCATGCCAACGTTATATGGATCCAACTGCACTCATCTGGCAAAGCTCGTATATATGCGAGCGCCGCAACATAAACCGTTCATATCGTCCTTCCTGTGGAATCTTAGTCAAAGACCGAAACACAGCCGTCTCGTTCACCTGATTTTCCTCGTGACCTTCACCCGTACGCAACACCATGTTATGTCCAACAAGCAACTGGGTCACGCCGGGCTGACGTTCACAACCTCTGCAACATCTTGCAACACACTCTCAAAGCCGGGAGACGACGGTGGGGTCGACGCCGCTTGCAAAGGGGAGCCGGGACACGTCATGAAGAGCTGGGGGCATGACTGGCGCATGGACGGGGAAGTTGTCGGCTGCTCCTCTTCGGTCGCTTGGGCAATAATGGCAGCCGTCTTCGTCTTGAGGTCTTCAATCGAGCGCTCGTATGCATCCTGCGAAAGGCCGAGACAGTCATCAAATATCTTTAAAGACGTCAAAAGGTTGTTGAGGCTCTGAATCCATCCGCATCGACGAGGATGGGTTACTTCGGGATCGAAACACAGGTTGGACAGAGAAGAAACCCTTTCATTGTGTTCGTAGACTTGCACGACCAGCGAGAGTAAACCAACAAGCTGTCGCTATACAAAAATGATCTGTCAGCAACGTATGAGCGGGGACTACTGCTGACGCAGAGGAAGCAGTCTCCGGAACTAGCCGAAGAAGCATACGAGGTACATACGGTGCGCACCTTCATCCCTTGTGCTATGACTTTCAGATGCTTCGCATGCTTGGCTTCCATCTCTTCCACTCGCGCCGCTGCCGCCCTCACAGACTTCTCCCAGGTTGCTCGTGACGACTTCAGATCCTTCTCCAGATTATCGGCTTCTGCGCCGAGAGATCGAGAGACGATTCTTGGATTTCCTCCACAGATTTGATCAGAAAGAGGTAAAGAAAACGCTTAGAGCCTTTCTCAACGTCTTACAGTGCAAAATCTCGCAGCCGTACTCTGATTTCAACGGCGACGTTTGGGGAACGAACGGACCTCACGAGCGGCACTTCTGATGTAATTTGTGACCACTTCAAGTAAGAAGAATCACTTCGCAGACCGTGACACATGGCTTCCCGTGCCAACGTGGATTTTCCTTCGCATACTCACTTGTCCTTGCGGACGCTTCTCTTTCTTGCGCGGCATCCACCTCCCTCATCGCAGCTTCCAGTTCCTCTTCCAGCCGTTCCTGCGCTGCTTGCCCGCGCGCGCGCTCCTCGCGCAGCTTCGCCTCCGCTTCGTTCTTCTCCATCAACGCGCGCCGCGCCGCGCGTTCCTTGTCCAGCAGCTCCTGGCTCAGGGACTCCTTGACCTGAAGAGACGACACTATTTCCGAGCCCAGCTTATTGGCGCTTATCGTGTACTTGGCTGGAGACGAGAAGTTATTGAGACGAAGTAGGTAAAGTATCTCGAAGACTTCTGGAGAACGGTCCGAAACCTATAAGAACCAATGAAAGGCGAGGTTGAGACCCATAGAATCAATGCACGACTTTTAACGTGTCGAAGAAGACGAGCGACAAGCGCCCATGCAAGTTACCGCTTGAATGCCAAAAGTTTCCACCCGAAGCAGATGCTCCGCAGTTTGAAGCTGGGGAAATGAGGTTATGCTACGATAATCATCCATGAGCCAGCACAAAAACCCGACTTTGTCTAGCCCAGAGTCCAACTGGAAATTGGACAATATTTCTGTGCCTTGTAGTCATACAGTAAATCTATGATGTGAGGGTTTAACTTGCTTCTTAAAGCACCTTTCCGGACAAGAAAAATGAAGGTGTGCTCTATTCTCACCTTGTTGGCTTGCTCTTGTCTGGCGACGATCTCCGCCTCCAGTGCATGCCGCTGCTCCTGCAGTAGGTTCTCTGTCCGAATCTGCAACGAAGATGAAAAGTTGTCTGACGTTAGGGAGACCGGCTTCCAGAGCGAGTAAGTCATGTGGCCTCGCGGCGGTGTTGATAGAGAGAAGTACGGCCTCTCGAACGGGGTAGAAAGTCCCGCGTGGAGACCCGAGTAAGGCGACAGGATCACTGGGATTTGAGGGCTTGAGGTCGCCCCATAAGACCACACGAGGCACCGTCGCTCACTGCCCTCTTCGAGATGAGTCATCCTGTGGGCATCGCTAGGTTCCCCCAGCAAACCAAAGACCGAGAACCACTCACAGGATGCTCTAAAAGACGGTGTTTGGATCTGCGCCGTGCAAACGGTCTATTTCGACCCATCTGTAGCAGTCCGCAGTTGTGTCAAGACAATCCGTACCTGCATCTCCGCTTCCAGTTGCGCCATCTGCTTGCGGAGCTCCCCCTCCCGTTTCGCTGCTTCACATCGAATTCGCTCCAACTCGTTTTCGCAGCGGGCCTGCGAAAACACGACCGGTTCATCATCCCTTAACAGAGCGCAGCTTCAGGAAGGTTAACTTCGCTCACTCAAGTCAGAGCTGACTGCCACTTTGTCACCAATCACAAGCCTGAAACAAGCCTTGCAGTGAGGAAGGCATCATCGAGATTCTGAAATAGAGGTGTGCCGTTTTGCCTAGAATACCTCCTTTCCCTTACGAACGGGGAAAACCATGTTGCAAGCTCTGCTGCGCGGCATACCTTCTGCTCTGCGAGCTGTGCGCGCGCATTTTCGCGAAGCTGAGCCTCCCTTTCATCCAGACCCTCCGCGGCCGCCAGCTCCAGAGAACTCTTCTCCGCATCAAAATCTGCTTGGAGCTGCAATAGAAAGAACGACGACCTTAGGGAGCACTTGCAAGCCGTGACAGCTATAAACATAGTAAACAACCAACACAGTTGATGGCGGGAGGAATTGAGGGCCCCAAAGATCGTAATCCAACCTCGAACAAAAGTGCGTTTTGAACGAATGGATCGTCCTAGCTTTGGCAGAAGGCAAGAATGAGTGACAAAACAAGGCCAAACTGGAAGGGTCCACATGGATTGTATGAAGCCCGGAACTCTTCCGTTGTAATAGCACAGAAGTTGGAACGCCGTCAAGGGGGGAAATCCGGCTCTTCGAAGAGTCCTGCCAATAGACAACGTTATTCCACCAATGTGGGAAGAAAAAGTTGTCAAAGCTTCTTCTCAAGACGAGAAAGACCGTCTCTGCAGAAGCCCACCTGCGCTATGAGCTGCTTCCGGTCCAGCTCCTCTCTCCGCTTCCGGTCCGCCTCCATCCGTTCCAGCTTGTCGGCGTGAGACTTCATGAGCTGCTTCCGCTCCTCTTCGAGTTGCTGCACAGAATTGATAATCATCTGTGATTTACAGCCCGCTATTTTCGATCGTTGAGCCTCTAAGGAAGACACGAATCTGCCAAAAATATCTACTAGCCCTATGATAAGGAGCGGCGATGTGTAGTTTCCTTTTCTGGGGCCGCGCTCATGTCCAATCTCGAACCAGGCACAAAATATCAAGGGCTGCAAGTCTGTCCAGTGGTCCTACCACAAAATAGTCTGTGCAGACCAAGCGCTTTAAGCCAAAAACTCGAGCGGATTGTTTCGAACGCATGCTTCTGCGAACACGCAGAGTGGAAACACGAGTGAATAAGTCACTCTCACTTTAAGCTGCTATATAGCGTCTCTGCTTACCTGAATGCTGCGTTCCTGCTCCGCAATGACGCTCTCGTACTTCTCTCGCAAGCTGACTTCCAAGTCCTTGTGCTGCGCCTCCTGAGTACAGGGATTCGGACTTCAGAAAGAGGGGAGTTATCAGCTCAGTGGGCAAAGATTTCATATCTGACAGGATTTTGATGGATTGATACATCTTAAGGCATACAATGTAAGGCAGAAAAAGACGCTGCGTTTTCGGTGTCCCCGCTCGAAATATAACGCCGTCCTCCGATTAGAAAGAGCTCGAAAGACAAAAATAGAAAGTAACGCGTGGACCGACTTAATCCGGAAAGCATCACAGACGGCCCAAATAACTTTCTCTTCACGTCTCAACAGAAGTTGCGAGTACCTAAAGTTGGTTAGCAGACTCAGTGAAACTTCCTGCTTCCTTATCATTCAGTTCCCGCAGAAGACTTGTGACGTCCTCTCCGTGCCTCTCTGATCTCTTCGCAACGATTTTCATACCCGTCCGAAGCCAGTATAGTCCCGAAGTAAATATACGTGTACGCGCGAGCGCTCTCACCATCGTCCTGAGCGCGCGGCGCGCCTTGTCCTCGGCCGCATCTTTTGCATTTTGCAGGTCTGCCACGCGCCGGAGCAGGTCCTCGTGCTGCTTCGCGCTGTCTAACTCGAGGTCCTGGTACGCGGTCTCAAGCCCCTTGAACGATCTGAGTAGAGGAAAGGAGCGCAGGAAAGCACGACGATTGTTTACTTCAATTGCCTCCTTTTCTCGCTTTCTGTTTATCACTTTTGAGAGAAGCAGTCTGTGTTCCAGTCTTCGGAAAGCGCTTTCCGCACCAGGTATA